ACGGCGCCCGCCCGCCCGCCCACCCGACGCCTTCTGGTCGCCTCGGCCTGGCTTTTCGTCCTGCCTCTTGATGGTTTTCCCTTCCGAGCTCTCTTCTGTCACTAGCTGCCTCGTTACTTGGTTCGGCTGCCTGCAGAGCAGTTCTTCTTTCTAGTTGTTCTGAAAACGTGAAGTTGCTGCCTTGTTTTTCTCCAAATCGTGCCCTTAATGTGTCTTTAAGACTGAGTGTATTTTCCTTGCTCGCATCCTCTTGCCCCTTAAGTTTATTAGTAAACGTACCTGCCTCCTTTCATAAGAGCATTGGTTTTAGCCTTTTCCGTTTTGCACGGTGGATTTATATATAAATGTATACATAAAAAGGCAAATGATAATGTTTCATTACTGCCTTTCATAAATCCCCTTGAAACCTCTTTGCCAACCCTTGTGCTGAAAATCAGTAGATGAAAGGTTTTTATACTTTTCTCAATTTTATTTTCCTTTCTGTGTGTTCGCATAAACTCATCTGGATGTTTGAAGTGAGATGCCTGGCTGCTCTAATTAAATAATTTATTGCTGCTGGTATTTTTACTACCAGGTGTGAAATAAATTACCCAACAGAAATGATCCTGTTTTGTGCTGCAGCAAAGCATGGCAACAGTCTCCCATTTTTCAGCTGTAGCAAAGCATGGCAAGAGTCTCCCATTTTTCATTCTACCTTTGTGTAAATCATTGAGAATACTCTAGGTTTTTAGCTGTGTTCAGATACGTTCCATTAATTACAAACAATAAGTATTACCCTACAATCTTTTATTTTTATTGGGGGAAGAATAAGTTAGCTAGCTAACATTTCATATTAAGTCTTGGTAGGGAGCCAGATGAGATGGCCTTTTATAAGTTGGGAGAGGCTTGCATGGTTTTATAAAATTAACAAATAAATCCTGTTCTCTTATCTCAACTTAAAAACAAAATGTAATAATAAGTAAACGTCAAAGCATTTCTGTAGCTTTCTTTTATGATCTCCTTCCACTCCACTGAAAGCAGTCACTCTCAAAGTGTCCATGTTTCTCAACTCAGCTGCTTGCAGCTAATAGCATTTGGTTGCAATTACTACATGAAATCACTTCTTAATTAAGACTTCTTACTTAGTGTCTAAAAGTTAAAGGGCATATTGATTCTGAGTTTTTTTCCTCTTTGGGTGTAGGGAGGTTGTTTGACTTGTTCTCCCTTGTATGAGCTGTAGCAGAGAGATAAAGGCATAATCTTGCAGACCTTGTATTTTTGCTATCCAGAGTTAAACGTAAAATAAACACTTACTTAAAATGGAACTTGAAACAGTGGGTAGCAATTGGAAAACCCTGAACTTTCATCAGCCCTTGTTGTCCTTAATTAACATGCACTTTTTAATTGGCTATATTTTCTGCTGTCCAAATAATTGAAGTCCAAACTGAGATTTTTCTGTCTTTTTGAATTGTCAACTGACTGATCTTGAATGGAGTGCTAGACTTCTTAATAAAGGAGTGTAATCAAAGGCGGTACTAGTGTTAGTACTTTGCAGAGAATAAGGTTTGTAACAGTGGAATATAAGAAGTTATCTCGTCTTTGGAAATGGGATTTATTCTGAGCGAACCTAGGGAGAAACCTAGAAACCTGCTGGTAAACAAGAAGCTAGTGTGTCTTTTCAAGTGAATTCCAAGTTACTTGCAGTTATGGTTCGTGTGGCATCATGCAACCAATTTTAGTTTTCTATAATTACCAGACAAACACATTTTTTTTCACCAGTGATGCTTATGGAGTCTGAATCACTGGAAAGATGAGCTGTCCTGTATCCTGCTTTGGTCATGGAAAAGATATCTAGTGGCAAGGTTCGTATTGTGGACAGTGGTTTTATTTTTATTTTTATAAAATATTCTTGTTTTTCCATCACTAACCGCAATTTTCTTAGAATTGGCCTCAGCTACCCTATGGAGTGATTTATCCAGTGGCAATGAATGAATTCACAGTGTTAATAGTCTCCCCTTCCAAAGCAGTCAAGTGAGCTAGCATAGTATGTGTGTGTACTTCTGAACGTTGCAGTAAAAATAAGATCTAGAGTTTTGGAGGAGCTGCTTCTCAGAAATCTCATCGTTTGTCTTTAAAGAGAGGAATTACTTTCCCTCCCAAAGTGACGTAACACTTGAGGATTTTCTTCAGCCAGCAAGCAGGGAATGAGACGGGAACTACACGTGCGTTTTGCTCTTGCTCTCCTTCCAGAGAGCACTTTCACAGACGGCTTTCGGCAAATACAAGTTTGTGCTGTTGTCAAAAGAAGTTGTGTCCTATTTCCAACCAACAGTTTTTTCTTCCTATCCTCCTTAGAGGAGCCCCTAGATCAGAGTGGATTTGGCTGAAAACTAATCTTCTGGGAGTTGAGGGGTGTGGAAGATGCTTAATTGTTAGTCCTTGCACAAGAGAAGTAGCAGCAGTACAGAGCTGGGGGAGAGCGGGAGAGAGAGGACTGCCCGTTAGTGGCAGTGCAGCTTTACATGACTTTAGCTTGGTGGGGAAGCTCTACTCCTAAACCTCCTAAGGGGAGATTGGGATCTTTTGGCAGTCAGGCCTCCGATCAAAGATTCAAACTTGTGATCCTTTTTGTTACTGTATCTTACTGTATTGTATCTTGTTGTATGTGTGTGCTTCCCCAGCATGCTGATTGCTGTTTTAGTGCGATATTACTTTAGCCTTTCCATTTGTGGACCAGCACTGCTGTGATGTTTAGGTCCCTCCTGCTGTGCAGTTGTATTCCCCCACTTCTATAGGAGTTACTGCCTTTGTGGGTGCGCAAAGAATTTTACAGGTAAAGATGGTCATGACCTGGTTCAAATATTTTTGGAGATGTATACTTAAAATACAACTGTGCTATATTTTGGAAATGACAGTAAAGTTTTCTTGGTGATGAAGTTGGGTAAAATGTATCCCTCTTTGAGAAGAAAGGTGCAAAGTTAAATATGACTGGAGTTGAAACTCTTCAGTCTTCCCAGGACTTGCAATTTTTTTTTTTTTTTAGTTTTAACCAGAATACTTTTTGATGAAGGATGTAAACTATTTTTTTCTTCTTGTCTTCCTTTTTAGGTTGGCTTTGCTCTTGGCAATGTGGTTGGGATGTATCTAGCTCAGAACTATGAGGTAAGTATCCTTATATTCTGGGAATTGAACCTAATCTGAATGAAAATGCAAGGCTGTTTTCCCACAGTCAGAATTGAATTAGTCTTTATTTTGATGAGTTTTTTGGATTTGGCTGAGATGCAAATTGTACTAGCTTTAGTTACAGTTGAATTCAAATTTGAATGGAATCAAAACATCTACCTCTTCGACTTCTTGTCTGTGGTACAGTAATGCTTAGATCTTCAACTGATATTGGGGCCCTAGAGTACAAGTATTGTAACCAAGCATCTACCTAGGGCAGCCCATGAGTACAAAAGTTAGAGTGATACAGAAATAGGAGCAATAGAATTGATCTGGCAGCTGCTCATGGATTATACCATCACTAAAATACTGATTTCTTGATTCTGATACCCTGTTTGCTTACAAAGATGTCCAGTCAGTCCATTTGTTACTTAGAAATCTTTCAGAGCATCTGAAATTTGTCTACTGTACTAGTGATGAAAATGAGTTTTGCCAGCTTTCTGGGAGAACTCAATATCTGCTGCCTACTTGGAACAGTATATCAACCTGCGCTCTTTCTTTTCTTGTTGGACTGAGATATTTCCTGGTGAGAGCTAGAGTAGAAGAAGAAGATTTGGAGTAGTCTTCAGCATGAACTTTTAAGTTCTGCAGAGTCAGCAGAATTCTATGTAAGAGCAGTGCCGCTTAGCTGTTTACAGGGAAGGAGAGTTAATGCAATGTAACATACCGTTATTTCCTTTCCTTTGCAATTTATACTAGCCTAAATTAAAAAAAATAGAGATGCTGATGCAGCTTTATCTCTGATATTATTTGTGTTTTCCTCACCTCATCTTGGGCATTAAAATCATCTTGCTAGTAGAATTCTTATTTTTTCCTCCTTGCACACTGGCAGACTTTTGTGATGCTTCCTATCCAGTCACTCCAGTAACAGGACTAATAGTAGTACTATTACTATTTGTTTTTAAAAGTTATGAAAAGGTCATAAGGACACGTTTGGGTATATCAATACATGCAGTAAGCACAGTACAGTGCTTTTCTGGCAGCTGTAATAATGTATTGCCACAAGAGGGAGACTTCTGCTTTTGATCTGGAGGAAATGTTTCCTTGGTAATGTAACACTGACTTGCAGTATAAACCTGGTATTTTTAGTCTTGGTATCTAAGATGATTTGTCTTGGATGACATCTAAGATGACTTGTCATAGTTAGGTCTTAACTCTTCAGCCATTTCCTTAACCATAAGTATATGAAGAATTCTGTTCACAGCAGTGGACTTCCCTTAGTTTAGTTTAAATGTGAGGTGTGTTACAGGCTGGATTCTTAATTTCACTTTCTCAAAAGGAGCTTAACTTCTGGTATTTCCTGTGCTATCAATGTCAAACCGTCCAGTCCGAGGACTGCAGTGTGTTTGGATTTACTCTCCTTCTGTTGTATGGCTAGGGTACGCATGAAGTTCACAAGTGCTAAATTGAATTTGCGTTCAAGTCTGAAACTGCAATGCAAACAGTGAACTTCCCCAGTAGGAAATTTTATTGCCCACAAAATGCACCAGGAGAAATATTTCTTCAGAAATTTCTGTAGGACGTATTTGCTGCTCTTAAACATCTCTCTCCTCTTTGTTTGTGACCAGTATAGTGCAAACTAATTTCCCCTCCAAAAATCATTGTTAAATTTTGTGTCAGTATTTTAATTTATTAAAGCTTATTTTTTGGCTGCTCAGTCTCTTTCAGTGAGCTAGCCAGAGGAGTCGTATTAAACTTCCTCTAAAGTGATCTATTTTCCTCCCTTCTGTTCCGAGCAACACTGACTTGACTTAGTCTTAGATATCTGCCTTTTTGAAAATACTTCCTGAAGCTTCCTGTGAGGTTCTTTCTGCTGCTATTTGTTTGGTGCTACTTAGTTTTTAACCTTTATGCAAGGTAACAGATCCTGGAAGCAAGCATCTTTTAGAAACCACTTTAAATTGTAGAATTTGCTTCTGTGTTTATGGTATGGTCTTGCTTGCTGAGGATCATCAATTCAGGTTTTTGTTTGTTTGACTTTTTTTTTTTTTTAATTTTAAAGATTCCTAACCTTGCAAAGAAGCTTGAAGACTTTAAGAAGGATGTGGAAGCTAAGAAGAAACCTCCCAGTGACAAATCCTAAGAGAGTGTTACCCTGGTCACCTCTGTGCAAGCATCAAGGATGCAATTTACCCTTCAGACAACAAAGATCAAGTAGAAGTTTGGCATGGGAGGTTCCTCCAGATTTAGTCTCCTAGAACTGGAATATCCTTGTTTTGAAAGAGCAACCACGAACTTTTCCTAGGACTGATTTTAAGGGGTTTCAGTATTTTGGATTTACAGATTATGTGTGACTGGAAAAGATAGTTTGTATTTTTTGTTAATGCTTTTCCTAATGTTTTATAACTCATTTTTACCTGATCCAACTGGAGAATGGTGTAAGTCCTGTTACTATCCGTACCTCATAGTTTGTAATACCGTAGTCTTAGAACATCGCAAAATAAATTAAATGCATCAAGAGGCAACTCTCAGGGTTTCTTGTCATTTGTTGAAGCTACCCTACTTCACTGTCCTTAAGATCTGCGTTCCATTATTGGAGATGGGAACTTCCTAGGAACTGTATAAAGAGCGATGAAACAGAAAGGGCTTGTGCTGTGTTTTTCATTAGGTTGAATAGTCACTTCCATCAGTGTAAAGTTAGCACAAACATGGCTTATTCAGAAAAGTATAAAAGATTATCAACTGAAACCAGCATTTCGAGTTCATTGTTACTTCTGTTACTGTCTCTTCCTCTTTCTCTTCTCCTTGGTCAGCTGAGGATGTCTCTTGGAACAGTGGGGGAGAAGATAGGAGAAAGCAGAGTCATCTTTGAGATAGGATAACCAAGTCATGAGGAGAGCTGCACTTCCAGTATGAATCCAAACCACTTCCTCCATATGGTTAGTAGCCCGGTTCATGTAACTATTCCAAATATGCATTTTACTATCTCTTCATATGGGACAAGGATTGGAGCCCAGTATTTCTACCAAATATGTTTGATATTCCCCTCTACAACTTCAGTCCTCTGCACAGTCTTCAGCCTGTTAGCTTTGCGTTTTGCTCCTTTGCCTACCATGCATTTTTTTTAGGATTAAAACCGTTCTCTTGCTGTGTTCCTTGTTGTCTTTCTGGTGTGTTCCTCTTCACCCTTTTCATCCACTAAGAACCCTGGTGTATAAGGAATATACACATTATGTTGCAGTGCTGCCCTCTTCTGCCTGAACTGAAAGCAAAATCTGCCTTTGGGAACCATTGCTTTGCCTGGATTCTGTTGTAAATTCCTAAGAAAATACTGTAGTAATTAAGAATTTGTATAGATCTAAGGTTTGTTGTTTGATGGACTGTTGAATTTATATCATTTCCTTAGATCTCATTTACTGTAAAATAGAAGAGTTTCTTCAACTCTGTAAGATGACTGCAATCGTTGAATCCCCTTGATAGTCTTTTGCAGGACTTGAAGGACTACAGTACCAAGTGATAGATAATTAGTCCTACTTTCACTACTAAATACAGCAGTAACAATACAATTACTACGGACCCTGCTTTCATCTGCTGCCCTGAAATTGAGGTGCTCTCCTTCTCTGTTCATTACTAACTTGGAGGAGTGTCTGATGAGCCAGGCCAGTAAAAGGAACAAACACAAAGAACGGCCACCTCTGCTCCATCAAGCTATAGACTGAAGAATAGCTAGAGTGCTTCTACGTTAGTGTTTTTAGTTAAGATAAGAAGCATGACTTCAAAGTGAATCTCCCTCTCTTACCATGCTTTCATTCTTATCATGGGGCAACTGTAGCGCACGTGTACTGGATTCCTTTTGGAGAAGACTAAACTGAAAGATGTGCTTTGGTCTCTAATGGACATTCAGTCCATAGGGCAGCACTAGGGATAGAGGTAAAATATCACAAATTGTGAGTCCTCTGCACTAACCGTTTTGCTCTGTAGACCCACTGGACAGCATTATTTACTTAAGGTAAACATAGCCTTAAAGCTTTTAAGTACAAGACTTGCCACCCCAAGGCCTTTAACTTGGGCATGTCTGGGTGGTTCCAAGTTCAGGAATTCTCAGAGTCGGCACAAGACATTTACAGAGCTGCGTTACAGCAAACTTCCTTTTCCAAGGTTTGCTGATCCTCCACAATGCAGTCCTACCGTTAAGGAAAATATGATTTCTAATCTTAAGATTCTCAAGATTCTCCTGCTTAAAGAATAAGATGGTCGAGATATATTTTACTTGCAATTTCCATCTTTCCCTTCCTTTCTCTCACCATTTGCTCTCAGTTGTGTAACTGAGATAAAAGCTGAGATAAAAGTCTTTACAAATGAATATTTGATAGTATCAAAAGCTGCCTCAAATAGGAATTTGTCAGGCAGTCTTAGTAGCTTTACTACCAACTCTACCTATAGTAAACAATAACTCAAAGAGGGACAAATACTTCTGACTACCTAAACGTTTGTTATCAGAAACCTTATGGTCGCAGTAAATCTTGACGTTTTCAAGAGTGCAATTGGTGAAGGGAGTTCACAAATAAAGTACACATGTGTTTAACTGTTACTGAAATACTAGCATAGCCCTGTCTTTGAAAGGGATTTCCATTAACTTTCACAGGCGTTAAGTCAGGCTGAAAGAATTCTATGTTTCAGATTCAAATTTTCTTCTAGAGACTGCATTATATAGCCGACTGTTGTTTTAATACTTTAGTGAATATGATGAAATTAATTTCCCTCGGCTTCTATATTTGGCTGTTCTTTCTTTTCTATTCTTGAACTAAGTATCCCAAAATATTGACTGTAACCCACTTTAGTTCTCGTATAAAATTATGTCAGCATTTAATGTTGAAATGCTTCATGCTACTCCTGCACTTTATACAGAGATGAGAAGGGAAATAATATTCAGGATCTGTCTGTGTTTATTGCCAAACAGGCATGTACGATTCCAAAAGTGCATTTTGGAGCTGAAACTTTCAGCTGTGTACGAGAAGCTAACGTTAGGATTTTTTTTGTCAGTTTTTGAAGTGAACCAGCCACAGCTGTAGCACTATAGAAACAATATACGTACTTGAATAATAAAGACAGGGCTTATTAAACTCTCAACAAGTTTTGCAACACTTCAATTTTAGCTCAATCTTTTTTGTCCCATATAGGAGGCTGGAGAGTTTGATAACATATTACAACGCAGTTCTTACCAACTTTACAACTGCTGCATGATGCATTTAACCAAACTGATTCAGCCTGAGGCCGTCCGAGATCATACAAAAGGTTAACCTTATGTTATATTTTAAGCGGCAGGAAGTCCACGTGGATAATGACTGCTTGATGCGGACCTCATATCTGAGGGCTCAGAGGGACTTTGGTCAGGGTGTCGTAGGAAGGCACACGGACAGGATGAATACATCTTTAAGATATCTAGGAGCAAGTTTCCCACTTAAAATGGATACTTTTGATTTGTGCCCATATAAAAATGCTATGAAGGTAGCTGGAATCACTAGCTAGATGTAATCTACCTTTGCTAAAAGCTCTTAGGATAAATGCACTTATATGCATTTTCTAGTGTTGATTCTTTCGTGGCATGTCCTAAGAGCTGAAGGTTTGAGGAGGAAGGAGAGGAAAGAAATATCCAAATTGCTAACAGAATGCTAAAATACTTAAACGGAATTGAAGCTGTTACCTTGTAATGGAAAACGCTGATTCACCCTACCCTACCCTAAGGCTCTTGTGGATAATCTTTCATTAATTATAGTCAAGAGTTAGTACTGAAAATATACAAAATGCTAGATACCAAAGCTAGTTATTAGCTTACCAGGCTGCAGAGCTCAAATAAGGAAGATGGATTTTTAGAGAGAAGTTTTGGCACTCAGAGAACTTTGCTAAAACGAATACTCAGCGGTGCCATTTTATGTCACAGAACCACGGAGGTTGGAAGGGACCTCTAGATGTCCCTACTCCAACCCTCCTGCTCCAGGCAGAGTCAGCTATAAGCAGGTTGCTCAGGACCACGTCCAGTCAGGTTATGAGTATCTCCAAGGGTGGAATCTCCACAATCTCTGTGAGCAGCCTGTAACAGTATCCGATCACCCTCACAGTGAAAAAGTTTTCATATGTTTAAATGGAAGTTCTGTATTTTCATTTGTGCCAGTTGCCTCTGATCCTCTCACTGGGTGCCACTGAAAAGCATCTCAGTCCATCTTCTTTACTCTTTGCCCTATTAGGTATTTATATAGAGGGGTGAGAACCCCCTGAGCCTTTGTTTCACCAGGCTAAACAGTCTCAGCTCTCTCTGCCTCTCCTCATATGAGAGAAAGAAATCAGAATTTTCAAAATTAACCAAGAGTTGATTTTACGAGCCTAGATTATCTATATATTCATAAAAAGATGGCTGGAAATTGGTATTTATATATAAAGTATAATATCTGCTGTATGTGAGGCACAATTACTTTGGAATATTAGGAAGTGATGGCATATATTGCAATATAGACAGTGCTATTATGCTAGAGAGACAAATTTACAATACAACTCTTTTTTATTTTTGCCTCACAGGGACAGAAAATAGATACTTAGTTCTATTTGTTACACTTCTCAGTGGTGTCTGCTAGCCTTTACTTTACAATGTCCCAGCCCAAGGTCCTTTTTATTGAATTTGTACTGAGATAAAATAGCTGTGAATGTTATTTGCTTTCTCACCTGAAACATACATTAATCACAGTCAGTCAAATTTACTTGAAAAATAAAGCAAATCTCATAAATTGCAGTCAAAATAGATGCCCCCAACAAACTCAGCGCTAGCTGTAGTCTTTAATGTGTTTAGAAAATACCTAAATACCCTCTCCTGCAGATCACTGACTGAAACCGTAAGTACACTAGTAGCCTTCCTACCCTTTCCCTGACTTAGATGTCATATTTGTCTTAGTGCTATTTTTTTTCTTTATTTTGAGAGTTTGGGCAAACGTTTAATATGGAGATGATCCTCGTGAAAAATAAACAAACAAGATCATTCCGCCTGAGGGCAATTTCTAAGAATCAGATGCTGCATAGATTCCTTCTTACTTATGCAGATTACCTCAAGCTGAAGGAAGTTCATTATTCTAGCCTATCCCTTCCCCAGGCTCCCCAAGATGGTCACCCTCTGAGCCCAAATGCGGAAGTGGAGCATACTGCTGTTTTTCTGTGAAAAACAGGAATTATGCACCCTTGCCTCACACTGATTAGGGGTTTTCTCTGGAAGCCGCACCTTTGGATTCAAAGGTGCAAGACAGGAAGTAAGTTCCTAATCAGTGTGTCAAAAATATATGAAGGACTGTTAAATTCTGTTATTCACATTTTCTGTAGGTCAGAGAGAATCAAACAATCCCTGTACAAGCATTAAAAACAGCTGGCATGCTCTACTTTTTTTCTGAGGAATAAAATATTAACTCCCATCAGCTTCAGAATGAAAAATTGCTCAGTATAAATGACCTCAGTTTACTTCAGTGAAATTATTCTGGTTTTATATCATTGTGAAAAAAATGTATGTAGCCCTAATAGGATTCTAGTAAAAGGTAATATAAAACTGAGAAAATAAAATAGTATACTGCTACTGGTTAATATGATAATACTTTTTGGATAGGAATCTTAAACATTAAACCTGAGGCTGAAAACAGAACTTTTGTTTTAAGGATTTGATCTGTGTGTTCAATGTTCAAAGCATCTACAGATCCCTTAATTTGATATCAGGCTTAATTTCCCTCTGAGAAAAAAAACTTCAATTTTGGACATTAGTAGAGACATATCTGAAGTTCGATGGTAGTATGTTATAAATTACCAATGAAAGTTTCCCATTTTTTTGTCCCCTTGTCGTTTATTCTCATTTCAAAAAAAACCCGTGATGTAATCACCACCCATTGCTGGAGCACTATGAGCTGTGTGATTTGCCTGTCTCTCACCTTGCAATTAATGTGCTGCTATTTTTGTTTTTGAGATCCAAATTCTGCTGTTAAATACTTCCTCATGTACTTTCTTATGTCTTCAATGAAATGAAGGGAATCATATGTGTGTATTTAAGGACAGAATTTGGCTGTTGTGCATGCACTGATCTAATAAGGAAAAAGGGCTGGTACATCACCCTTCCGTAAACATCTGGTGGAACATGGCAATGACAAGTGCCAGTATCTGTGGACGTCAAAATGTGCTGAGAGCACTGACAAGGGAGGGAAGGTAGCTGGGGAAACTCTTTGCTGGAGTTCACACCAGATGCCTCTACAGCAGTCTTGTGAAATCCAAATTCTGCTGGAAACTCATGGAAAAATTACTGCAGAAATGGAATTTTGTTTTGGATGTGCAACACAGCACTACGCAGTTTCCATTTACCTATTGCTGTACCAAAGAGTGTTGGTGGCTACTGGGTTTGATTTGTGAATAATCCTTGATCTCCCTAAAGGTGCTGGCACATCAGCTACCCGTCTCACAAATAAGAATATCCCATGTTCATGTCCCCTGGCTACCATGTGGAACCAGGATAGGAAGGCCTGATGGAAGCTGAAGCTGAGCTGCGAAGTAGGTATTGGGAACGTGGAGAGTGATTTGTAGCCAAACAAACAACTAGGTAGTTTGATGATGGTGGAGGATGAAGCACAAAGTGAAAAGGATTGGAATGTGAGTGCACGGTAAAAGACTCAGTGTGACTAAAGCCTAGGGAAGAAAGCAAGCCGGAACGAGAGTTTCTTGGCGGGGGGGAGGGGGCGGGATTGCGAACAAAGAAAATGTCCTGTTTGTTGCCTGTGAGGACAGGGCCCTTCATACTGTAGACATCGTCCACTCATTGAAGTGCTGGCTGCAGGGGGAAGTCACCTGCTGTCGGTAAATAAGTGTTGCAACCCCTCTGTCCTGCTTCAGCGGCTTTGGTGCTGGCTGCAGCTAGCTGCTGGGCTACAGCTTATGGAGGGACACCAGGATGTCTCTGCTTTTAGCAGCATGTGGGAGTCTGTGCCTTGCTGCAGGTGCTTGCAGGGGAGCAGGAAGCCACCCAGATATTCCTAAGCAAGAGCTCTGTGAAGGATCTGGATGCCAATGCAGTTTTTGTATATTGGGGTGCAGAAGAGGAGTAGTCTCAGGATGAAGAAAAACAGGAATCTAGTAGTTGAGAAGGGTTGAAAAAGTGGGGCTGAGGTCTTGTTTTGTGGAACAGGAGGACGTGCTGATACACTGAACCAATAGTTTACAGAAACACTTTATTTTCCAAGAAGTGAATTTACAGCATGTACTATGAATAAAAATTGCTTTACCAAAAGGTGCTTCCTCCTGCTTTTGGTATGAGGGCTAAGAAGTGCTTGTGCGGTTTTCCCCTGTTCTGCTCTCCCTCTTCCAACCTATGACCTCTTGCTGAATCTGTTTATTTACAAGGCAAGTCTGTGGGATCCCTCTCTTTTGATAGAAGCAGGAAGCCAACACCTCCTGCTGTCTCAGCACTGCCTCCCTAATGGTTTGGTGGGTTATGGGGTGAAAAGTATCATGTTGATATTCTTACAGAGCACAAGAATATGCGGTAGTGAATAGTTTATTTTATTAACATCTTATTTATGCAGCATAGACATTCACACTAACATTTAGAGATCCTAGATTATAAGTGGGAAGCATGAGAATTCATTAAAGTATATATATCGAGCGTGTGATAACATGGGATCCAGTTATCCTAATATGCAGCCTAAAGGCATTGACATTGAAGAAATGATTAAAAACAATAGATATTATAAGGGAAGGTTATCTAGGTATCACAGGGATCCAGTCAGAAAAGCAGGGCATTCACTTTGCAGATGATAAAGAGATTGTCCTTTTGTTTTTTAATTATCTGCTGTATTTCACAGCTTCCTGCATTTGAAGTTCCTGTTCTCTGGGCTGCTAGAGAGCAGGTGGGTATAATATTAAACTGAGTATGCATGGTGAGAAGATATGCCAGTGCCACTCCATTTCAGCCCTCTCCCTTCTTACTCATGGAGCAGCACGCACAGAGTACTATCTTGGAAGAGATTTTACGTTCTCTGTCAGGAAGGTGAGAGGTCTATATTTAAGCAGCAGCCAAAGGGAGAGGAGAGCAATGAGTCTGTTGGCTATGTGAGGTTTTGCTGCTCACAGTTTCATCTGCTGAAAAAACCTCCCACATCATTACAGTAGTGTGGAAAGAAGGTACTGACCAAAACTTGCTAACTGATTCTAAAGCTCTTCTTTCCAATGCAGAGAATACAAATACTGCTATATGAGAAGCTTTGTACCAGTGCTGCAGAAAAAAAAAAATCCCTCTCCCAGAAGACGACTTCTTCCTATCTATTTGATGGTGTCTACTGTCTCTTTCAACTGCTATAGCTGGTAGCTGGTAACTGTGTTTCTTTCCAGGCCATATGGATTAGCTGGGAAAGTTGGCTTTCCAACACAGTGATGACTCACCTCAGAAAAAGAAGAAGAATCTGCTTTTAAAAGAAGTAGGCGTAGAAAATTCTGGGTTTGGGAATAAGTTGCCCTTCATTTACTGCAGGAGTCAGAATGGTAGGAATGAATATCCTTTTATTGAGTGCACTAGTATGTGTATACTTGTCTTCTGCCACTGGAGTCCTATATCCTCCATTTTATAAGTGCGACGTAATTGTTCTAGAACTTGAAAAAACTATAGGCTAAGAATCTGGAGGAGAAGGTTTTTTTCAGAATTATGGTATCACAGGAAAAGCAACAATACACCAAAGCTAATCTCCATTTTAATCTCATGTTGATTTTCAGAACTGAAAAGTTTATGCAGAAGATCCTCCTGTGGATTTTCTTCATAGTTTTGCCCTGGATCCAGGTTCTTTATATACACAAGTTTTTTCCTTTCTTTCAAATGTGCAATTTAGATTAAATGTTTTGTCCCAACTCACTTTGGTCTTACTTTTTTTTTTTTGTTTCCATTGCTAATTATGTTCGGCTAGTGATGTTACTGACCACTGCCCATTCTGGAAATGTATTCAGCTGGAAAAGTCTAATTCCCCATGTGTTGATTGCCACCATGACAACAGCAAGACCAATCAGATTTACACCCAGGCCAGCTTTCACCTACAAAAACAAAACACAACAGAGCATGATCAGTGATGACTTGAACAAAAATAATCAGTGTGGAAGAAAGAAGGCAGAAGGGTTCATGGTGAAGAAAGGGCATGCATCCGTCCCTTTCGGCTTTGTAGAATATGTTTCTATATGTATGTTTGTCTGTTGATTTATAAGTATAATCATAAAGTATGTATACTGATTTCTAGAGCTATAAAAAGCCCCGTGAATATTATGTATCAGAATGTGCATCATGAGAGACTTCAGGAGTCGTAATCAGAGGTATATGCAGCTCATCAGAAGACTTCTCAGTTTATCACTTGGACATTTCAATCACACAGTCAGAATGGGGATTTGAACCATACCTAGCAGGGTGACAACTACATGATTAAGTACGGAGCTCTGTGACAAATCTAGTTTCTTGTAAGCTTCCTCAAGCACTCTGCTCGTTAGACCATTATATTCATTTACAGAAAAGATGAAAATCGTGCATATCGTAGTGTAGATGTTCTTAACTTGACAGCTCCAATAAAATAGCAGTAGTGCGGATCAATATGACTGTATACTAACATGAATATCATTATTATTACTGGCTGCTGGATGTGGGGACAAGTTGTTGAGGTTGCATGAAGCACGGGAGGGTATACCTGATTTCAAGACTCACCATGTCTTTAATCTGGCAGTGCCCATAACTGAAGACAATGGCATTTGGAGGATTACCCACTGGCAGCATCACCGCAAAGGAGATACACATGGTGACAGGAATCAGGGTATATAAAGGGTTGATAAGCAGGGTTTCTGACTGGAAGGAGAGACGAGGGAGAGAAGTTTCACTTAACCGTTAAAGGCCACTGCTTGTAACTGTGATGAAAGGACCCTCTCTGCTTTATGTGACAATAACAAGATTCTGCAAATTTCAGTTCCCTAGCTTCTAAACTTAAGGGTAGAATCAATCTTTTTCTTGTTTTTTAGAGCTGGATAGTGGTAGGATTTGAAGCTGGTCACGCTCCATGGATTTTTGTTGAACCATTTCACACTGGGGGAGGGTGGAGGTTGCTACTGTTAGACCTTCCTTGCTCTTGTTCCCATTTGTTCTCCATGTCATTCTGTGTTGTTTCTTCTGGTTCTAATCACTGAGCACGGCTTCAGTCTTCATCCAAGAGAGATCACAACAGATTGACATGAGGAACTTACTCCTTTCAGCTGCTGAAGGTACTGAAGCTTTTTCTACTGAAGTCCTTCTGAACTGTGATTAGGAAAATTAGGTGTTTGTTGTCCAAATTCAAATTGTGAGGAGACAATGATGTTAGAATAGTCTTTAAAATTGTCCAAAGAATTGTTCTTCCACTACAGCCTTCAGTGGTGGTTAAACTTTGCATTTTAGTTTGCTTTGCTATGGACTGGGTTTATGCTAGAGGGAAAAGGAAGGGTATTCATAATGCTAACTTCATGTCAGAGAGTGAAGTGTCTATAGGCTCCTTTTACACTCCAAAAAAAAAGAGACTGCCTTAAGATGGCAGTTCAGATCACTAAAAGAAGATTACTGCTCTAAATTTCACTTTAGGATAGTCTCTGTCTGAGCTGAGCAGGGGTGAATTTGACCTCATAAGCCATTCTAATGTAGTTACTTATTTTCATCTGACTGTACCTTCATGTTACCCCAGAGCTGTTCACTGTAGCATACTTTGGGACAACCCAATGCAATTATTTTCATAGGGAAACATGATTCATGACCTGCATTCTTTGTAAGTAAAGTTTCTCATTACATAAAAAAAAAGAAATTAAGACGGGTTTCTGTAACGGCTATTCCAGTATAGAAGGTAACTTCTGTCTCTTGCCTCTGCCTTTGGCACCAGTATCCTCATTTCTTTTGGCCCTTACAAGCGTCTCTGTTTGCTTTCCATGCTAGATGCCGGTATGCTTACCAGGCTGCCTCTCTGAACACATTTCATTCTGATATAAAATTCCCTTCTACAGCCTTTTCTTACAAGTAGCGAGTAGGTGACTACTAACTAAGGAAGAACACATTTAAAATAACATTGTGAAAAGTATCCCAACCCTCAAGCTTTGTAAGGGCTTCACCAAGTATCTTACTGCTTTCCTCATCTTCACCTTCCCTCGTGTTTAGATCATGTATCCCTTAGCACAGGAGCTATATTTTTACTTCTGAGAGGTGCTGAATATATTCCTTGGTGCTAACTTATGCTTTCAGGCCTTTTGGCTGGCAGAGTTCATTAATTCTCCTAAACCCAAGACAGCAGAACAATAGCTTGGGAACTGGGGCTGGACTCTGTGCTCTCAGAGAGCCAATATCCTAACTTCCTGATGCGTTCCCGCAAGGCTATCAGGAAGCAATAGACTAAAAATGCTGTTGTTTTTACTCACCATGCTGCATAAAATAGGCAGAAAGATAGTTATGGTTGCTGGATTACTAACAAACTCTGTTACCAGGGACACCAAAATGCAGGCCAGGAGAGTTACAGCCCAGTAAGGAAGGCTGCTCAAGGACAACATTTGGCGTCCAATCCATGTGGAGAGGCCAGAGGTCTGGGGAAAGGACAGAAGTGCAAGAATTATTAAATACAGTGGATATTTTTAAACCAGATTCTTCTCTCTGGGACAGTTTGCAGCAGAGAATCCTACCAGCAAATAACATTTAGGTCAATACTCTTTGCATTCCCTTTTGATGAGTAAACTAGATTTCAGTCCAGTGCCTAATAAACTGTTGTCCATAATATCAGAGACACACATCTGGTAATAAATGGCACAAGGAGTTGACAGGCACAGTTGAAAGGCAGAAGATCGGAATTGAGCAGGCACCGAGCCTGATCCTTCCTTTTACTTCAGCATGTGAACTGGATTACTACAAATCAGTGTTGAAGGATTACACAGTCTGGATACAATTCATTTTGAGATTGACATACGAATTTAGTTGTCTACATGTATGTATCTGTATGTGAACTACGTTTGTCTAATCTCCCATTTTATTCAATGGAGATACCATCAATAGAGCCTAGAGCATGTCCGTCGCTAGGAACTTGACTCAGTTGCCTAAACATGAATATCCCACAGCAACTAAGGTGTTCCCACCTGGCTGGCCAGCTGCTGCTTGAGAAAGGATGAGGTCTGCCTCAGATCTTATGTCACATCTGCAAGCTTTGTGGGGATATCAGGATATTCTAGAGCGTCTGAAATGGCAGTAGATGCCTATGTCTAGGCAACTGAATTGAGCCTTTTTGTTAGCTAAGTAGCTCTCCACTGAGTCGAGAAATTAGGGTCTAGGTAATGTACAAATTTGAAAGTATCCTCATCATTCCAAACTGGGCAACATACAAAGGGATTAAGATAAAAGTCCAGATTTATCATTTGCTTAGAAGGTAGGATAAAATCTAAGTCAGTACCTTGCATCCAGCTGCTAAGGCATAACCGCCTCCAACCAACACTACAATCTCCCAGGGCATGGTCTTCTGAAAGTCCTTCCAGGTAATGATCGGATCAAGTGTCTTAGTGTCTGTGGACCTTTCACCTTCTCCTATATCAAAATAAAACAAATGTGTAACCAGTATCACACTGGCATTTTTGCAGAGATCTCTGCATGCTTCACCAATAATAATAATGCAAAAATCCATGGGACTTACCTTGAGAAATATCTGTGAGATAGATGAGGAAGATGATAGCAGCCTATTTCTCTGGTTAGCTCAGCCTCAGGAAGTGCAGCATATTGATTCCAAATGCTCTGACTTTCCCTTGTCTGCTCTATTGATGTGGATAAATCCCTATGTTTTATAGTATAAATATTTGAAGGACTGTCTTCTGTTACATATACTTGTGTCCTAACTATCTGTAGACTGGAAAGATGGAGTTACGATGAGATTATTTTCTCAAATAAGGGTATTTTCTCTCTCCAGTAACTCATAATGCTTGATAAAGCTCATTTATGTTGCCAGGTTTTATCTGAGGGTATTATTTTTAGATACCTGAGTTTTTTGTTGAAGTAGCATTTAGATTTTTTTTTCCTGTAACTGCTGCATGCATCTCAGTATGAGAAATAAACATATCTATATACACTTGTAATCTCTAAATAAGACTAATGACAAGAAGCTGTGTTTTCATGCATGAATTTTGAGAGCCTGGCAACAGCAAACTGATTGATACCTCTGAGTGCTATCAAAATATGAATGTGAAATAACAGTAATAATTATTATCAAGAAGACTGCAAGAGCTACTTTGGCAAAAATTTGAACTTTTCAGTCCACTGTCATCTACTGACCTCTTTTACATCTACTTGATGAGATTGCCAATGAGTTCTTCTATACAAGTAATGACCAAAATATTTACATTCTTCATCAGTCAATTTTCCAAACCTCTGTGTTGCAGTTCTCAATATGTAACTGCATTTCAACCTATCGTAAACCTCTGTCCTAGGTTTTGATAATGTAGTGCAGGCACAGAAAAGATGGTGGCCATAAATGCAAGATCTGTTTGTACTCTGCTGGATGAGAATACATGAGTTAAGGCACCAAAAAGGGTGCTTGAGTTAGGAAGGGATGGTATCAGAGGATAAAGTGAACCCTGACTTTCCACAGTAAAAAATCTGTTCTTGGGCCATTTAACAGAGAATAGAAAAATATCATTAAAGGCACTGGAAAAAGTATCATATCTCATTCTTGCCACATCTTCCTCACCTTTTTTCCTTTTTCCAAAACATGGCTTCTTTGCTGGAATCAGGAAAAGGAGAAAACCAAGAAATACAGAGACAGTGGCATCAGTCCGGTAGCCTTTCCTAGGAAAGAAACAGTGGGTTGTCATAAAAATGCACTAACAAACAGAGACATTCCTCAACAAAGGACATGGCTCCAAGCAAATATTTATAGGTGAAGCTGTGTTTCTACATCTGAAGGCTTAGTAACAGTCCTTGAGAAAACTATACTTCCATATCAAGGAAACAAATTTAATTTTTTTAAATTTATTAAACTGTCTCCATTCAGCAGTTATTAACACTGCAGTGAAAAAAAAAGATCCCTTTTGGTTTACACAATTATTAACTCAGAGATATAGAAAAATACCAGTTTTCTAGAATCAAGAAACAATTAGCACATTCTGGGCAAAAGCCCACGTAATCCTCTATAAATGAATTGGAGACTGATTCTAAATATTAATTTTGAATAGTTATCACAGTCTGAAAAAGTACTTTGAGGTGTGCTAAACTCCAAAGATTATCAGAAAATCCCAATATTAGAAATTATTTTTCTATCTGAATTAGAATGAAAAAATAATTTTATGCAGTAGAAACTGAAAGAAAATTTCACTTCAATTCATTTAGCCTTTGAGAGGTATTGTATATTAAAGTTACTTTTAATATAAGTTGTTTAAATATTATTTGAAGTGAAAAAGGTATAATTGTTTGTCACTTTTCTGTCTAATATTTAATTGAAATGAAAATGTTTCTGATAAACCTGATCTTCACAAAAATACATTTTCTATCAAAAATTGTTCCTTCAAAATAATATTTAAAAAACATAAGGTTTTAATTTGAATTATATTAGTAAACTATTCCAAAAAGCATCCTAGTGGCAGCTTCTCTATGAATGCATTAAAATGTTGCTTACTTTAAACTTCAGAATATGATCTTCCCATTTATTGCCTTAGAAATATATTTATTTTACTTCTGTAGCTAATGCACTCTACTTTCCTAGAAAGAATACAGTTTGCTTTTGTGTGAATAGATGTAGTTTTAAAAGCAAATATCCTTAATTTTGAATGAAGATTTTGTTTTTTACCACCTCGTTAACAGTGGCTATAGACATTTGGTAGCCAAAAGTTATTACAGAAAGTCAGCAGATAGATAGAAGATCATATTCCTCTGCTACTGCTTAAGGAACTTCACTTACTTCTCAAAAAAAGATGACCACCCTGGTACAAAGCCAGGTTCACGAGTGAACCAAAGCAAGGTCATCAGAACGAAGAAAAACCCAGTCACCATCTCAGGATAGCTAGAAACAAAATGAAAAAAAGTTAGGAATCAAATCCAAGGCCAGACTGAAAACCCAGGAGCAAATTACAGAAGTAAGGGGTTGTCAACTGGTTCCAACAAAAGGGAAAAAAATCTATAAGGAAAACAGAAAGGCAGATTAGTTTGAACTAAAATAGTCTACATTTGGGTCCTAGCTGATAACAACCTAGACCCAGTAAAGAATACAGCTAAATATATCATTATCTGTATTTGCACTTTGATTGTTCATGGTCAATCCTTAAAGAAAGATATTTATGTATGCTTTTTATGTTTTTGCAGTACTATCAGAAGAAATACTGTAACAAGGTAAAGCTCATGTTACTGTTGCATTGTAAACATTTTGTATTGCATTTTTTAAAAGCCTGTAGAAAGCATAACAGCAGCTGACAATTAAATCAGCACAAATATTTTGAACTTGTGGAATAAGTACAAGGTTAAAGTTGGCTTGAGGGCACTGGGTTTTAATATATGGTGGATTTAAATTAAGTTTGGTTTCATAGTTTCATACTTAGAGACAGTGTGAGCAAAGGTCTAGACTCAGAGTCAATCAGGCTAAAATTCAGTGAGTGCATCTATTAAAATTTCAGCTAAACAGCACAAAAATCTTTTGAGAAGGGCTGATCTTATCAGGTATCATACCTTTTGTAAAATGAGATTCTTTCAAATTAAGCTTTTTGACAGAGATTGCTTGCCACCACCAATAAGGATCGTCACCAGCTGGGAGGACAGGACTTCTCATGATGGGAGATTGCTGTAAAGCCTTTGCTAATAGTGAACTTCTATCCACTGAAATAAGTATGTGCCTGAACTGACACAGTGCTGGCGTTTAAGTATAATCTGCATGAGCCAAAGGCAGTGCAGAGGACAAAATGAGAGCGTGGTTCTAACCAGAGAGGCAAATTCCTGAAGAAGGAAGATCTGTTTTACCTAACATTTCCCAGTTTCTCATATTCTTCCTGTATTCTTCTCTCTGACATTTCTTCCCGTTTGGTCTTCTTCTTCTTGCTCATGGAACATGTCTCTCTAAAACTGAAGGAGATAGCACAGTAAGATTAGAGAGATCAGGCAAATGAAAAGAAGATGTTGTAAAAAATAACATCAACACAGCAAAATGAAAATTTTAGTCGCCAAAGGCAGTTGGGAGACAATGTGATTGGGGCAAGACCTGATGGTAATGGGAAGGGAAGCTGTTGCATGTGATCTTTGCACAATCTGGTTTCCAGGATTTGTGAGAAACCCTGCCAGAGGCAGCGTGAAGGCTGCGCGTCTCTGGGGTGCTCTGACTAATACTGACTGGTATCGTGGAGCCGGCCAGAGCTGTGGCTAGGCGCTCTTTCCTTAGGCCTCCTCCTACTGCCTGCGGAGGCCAGATTTTTCGGGTGCCAGAACTCTTCAAAGGCTATGGCTAGCTTTTACCGTCCCATGGAAAGATTGTGACACAGGTCATCTATGAATAGATTTTCTTGCGTTGGAGCTGCACGCTTTCCACTCAAAGCAAGGGTATTGAACACATACAAGGCCCAGTCTGGCTTTTGAGCCCATGTTTGTCTTGAATATTTGGGATTTAGGCTACACAGGGAGGGAAAGCTGTCCTGGAAATCCCAAAAATTTTCATGAGTTGACCGTGAGACTGACAAGGCCACTTTTATTATTTCTAGCAATTTCTAAATTATACACAGTCAGTGCAGGACTGCACTGTCTCTGCTGCAGATGCCAAGGCAATCAGTGTGGTGTTTTGTCCTGGTGAAAAGTGTCCGTACTTCTATCAAGGAAATAAAAGCACAAGCCCATTTTAGAGTTGAACACATTTAACCTTGCATTACATTTATATGCAAATTATGTGAAGACCTCAGTTTCTGCAGATTGCCTTCCTAATATAACAAAGCCTGTACGTTCCTAATTGAAATGAAGAAACTTGTGAGCTCACTTTAACCTTTTCCTTTTACTCTTTCCAGTAGTGTCGTTTAGGTGTGCTTTGAGCCACAGCTCTCTGCTTTTCTGCTTCTGCTCTACCTTCTGTCATGCACAGCAGTACGATGTGGGCTGGGAAGCCTCTGCAGCTAGGCAATTCTGAAGTGGGATGCAGCAGCTGGACTTCAGTGACGAAAGTACATTTGGAGCAGACCAGCCTGTTTTTAAAGTTCCTACTATTTTAATATATCTCTTATTACCCCACCAGAGTTCCATGCTATATCACTGGCCAGCTGGTAGACTAATATCTCCTTCCTTGTGTCTGGTGCAGGCCAGTTTTTCAAAGGGATTTGAGCAGTTAAGGATGCAGATAGATCCTGTCTGGTACACAAAATATCTTAAGCAGGCTTTTCATTTCCACCGTAAATGGGCATCTACGTGACACTGTTCTTTTTATCACACTTAGCATTTCCCTGCATGCCCAAGTATTTAAATATCCTTGCAAACCTGCCTATTAGACTCCGGTAAATCCAGCAGCAGTAGCACTGCAGGAAGTGAAGAGCTATGTATGTTCTTAATGGTTAGTTCTAAAGGGGTGACTAGCCTTCGCTCTGCTTTTCTGGAATAAATTATTTGGTAGGCAGGTTCTCCTTCTCCTTTGATCTAGTCTAGAGCCTGCTGCAAGGCTTTCTAGGCTAAAAAGCAAGTCTGAGATGTTTTTCGAATGGGCCAAGTAACAGCAGAGTGATAACACTCTACTTTCTAGGAAAAGAACATTCCACAAACATTAGTGGAATTCAATAAACATTTATACACAGGAATTAGGTTGCTATTTCAACATTTTATCAGTGTTGCTAGGCTTAGAAAGATGTGAAGGCAGAGTATTGTAGTCAAGCTCCTAACGTAATATATTCTTTAATGAAATGCAGTGAACAGAAGTCAGAGCTTAAAGAGGCTTGGAATCAACCAGCACTTCTCAAGAAGTCGATAATGCTTCAGTCTCTGGTATTCTTTAGAAAAACATTAATCAGCATGAGGTCTTGGATGCGATGTGGAATTTCCATGATTTTTATTAAAAAATCAAAGAATTGAGGATCATGCTAGAACCTGTTTCCTCTCAAGATTTAAAAAAAAAAAGCCTGACATTTTCGCCTTTTAATTTAGAACTACAAGGCTCAGAGGACTGACTGAGAGAAGGACACAGATATTCACCTCTAAATTACCTCTTCAAATCTAGTCAAAGTCAGCAGCAAGCAGAAGTCATTATCATCTTATACATTGTTGTAGGTGTTATAAATTGGTAATGTCAGATCAGCTTGCTTTTTAGAGTAAACTAAATCAAATTAAGGCCAAGGCCACTTTAATTCTGAATAAGCGTGTCTGCACCACAGTTTAATGCAGATTAACTAATCCACTCTAAATGCACACATTTAGTCAATTTTCATTAACTTTGCTGAGTGCCTCTGCAAAGAGAAGACGTGGTACAAATGAACTGGGAGACAGAACCTTGTTCTTATTTTCATCACTTCGTGATATCACAGGGTATTTGTCTCTTAGGCCATGAGTCCTTTGCACTTTAAAGGAAAATATATATGAAGTCTATTTACCTTTCTTTTTAACTGCTTTTACATTAACTTCGTTGAGCTGGGGGTACATCTGAGAAGTAACTTGCTCTCTTGCACTTATTTTTCTATGGATTTTTTCAGTTGCACGTTTCCAGAAAGACTTTTAACAAGATTTTTGGTCCACACAAGGCCATTGTTATATGAGTCAAAAAACCAGTGAAAAGCGTAATAAAGATTTATATCAGCAGTATCTAGGTACTCCACTCACAAGCAGCAATACTGTATTCTGTTGCCTGTACAGCTCTTCTAAGGAACAAGATGATTTCCTGTAATGGTTCTGGCAAGGAGAAGATAGCTATGCTTTTGTTTTTGTAATTATGACTGGGGGCACCTTTATGAGACATGTTCTAATGGAGCCACACAATGCCCTGCTTTTGTAATCCATACATTTCTAATAACCTGCACTCACTTGCAACCCAAGAACAGCCAATGCATCCAGAACCAAGTCAGGACCAACATGATGACGGAGATGGGGAAGCTGAATAAAAACCAGGTGCCAAAATTCACCACTTCAGCCTTTGGGTAGTGACTGTAAAGGAAACAAAAGAAATTGAAAGGGTAAAAGAACAGACACTCCAGCATGCACATGCACATACACACACACACACACACACACTTATATACATATATAAATCTGTCATGGTACGGTAAGTTGTATCAGAATGAATTTGTGACAGCTGCATTGCACGTGCATAGTGAAGCCCCTTTCCAAAGAATGTCAGTCTTCTGAATCTCAGTCATAATGTGTGACTAAGAGATGAGCCATATAGCACTTCATACCTTTAAGGTCAGATGGCCTGGGTTGTCTAATCAGCTTAAAAAGCCCTTAGAGTTGCCAGGAATTAAATCCCATCCCACCTGAGGTTACCATTAAAATCCTTTTTATTGTCAGTAGAGCTAAGAATGATTTTACCCAGAATCTCTGTGTATCTTACCATGCACCACACAAATGACGACTGTAATCTACTGATCTCTAACAAAGATATCTGATGTGCATTTCATGGAATTGTCATAATTGTCATAATCCAAAGCCTTGGGCTAAGCATGGATTCCAACTTTAGTTTCCTTTGCTACCACCATTTCAGAGAGTGAAATACAGGACACCGTGGCAGCAGTGGCAGCAACAGAAGAGGATGATCACGTCTGAGATTGGCTGCATATCTGTGCATGAGGAGGTATATCACCAGTCCCACCTCTTTGCCTCTTCTAAAGGAGGTGGAATTCCTGTCTTTCAAAGTGCTAGGCACACATGATAAAGAAAATATGTAGCTAGTCACAGAGTTGCTTCCCATCTTTTCTGAAGCAAAGGTGCAAGGCCATGTTTCTAAATTTATTTATTTTTGCACTGCTTTTGAAGCAGGCCAAGTACCCCTAATTGAGCCCCAGGTTCATCATCAGAACTGGCTTTCTAAGAATGCCTAAAGCATCTTAAAGTTGATTTTGTGACATTTCTTCTTTCATATGCATTTGCCTTTGTCTTCTTTGTTATGTTTTAATGACTTTAGTTAGTGTTTAATTTTCCAGGGTACCTGCTGCCTCCATGGTAACCGATTAGCAATATCAAAAGGAGTTACTGAAGAAACTAAAATATTATCTTATGCCGAGGAATTTTTATTTTGCATGGGGGAAGGACATGGGTATGTATGAACTAAAGCACCCACTTTCAGCCATTGGCCCTTAGTAATAACATTAGATTAGAGAAGAAAGAAAAATTCCCTTCAAATAAACTATCTTCCAAGGGTTCCCTAAGGCAATAACATACAGAGAAAGCCACAAAAGTGGTAATGACCCAGCTTCCAACCTCACACGTGCACAATATCACCTACTTGTTGAAGTGCTCTAAGAATATGAGGCTAGTGGATGTCCCTATGATGGTTGTCAGTCCTCCAATGGTTGCAGCATAGGAGATACTCAGTGAGAGGCATTTACAGACCATATGATCATGTCTGGATTGATACTGATATTTAGTGCTCAAGTCCAGTTCTGTGGGCTTAGGAGGCAGGACCAGTATCTGAGCCTACAAAGAGACACATTCATCAAAGACAGCAGTAGATTATAAGAACAGCCCAGCCCGCTCTAATGCCAAGGCACTACTGACTCCAGAAAAACAAGAGGTTTGCATAAGAGGGGGTAGTTTTTTCTTCATGGGGATTAGCTGGGATCAGAACTAGAAACCTGCCCAGGGGCCTGAAATTGCTTGATCTGTGGCAGAAATGTAGGACAAATAGTAACCAGACTTCTGATCATGGTTTGGTCCTGCTCCAGGTCTCACTGGAATCTCAGCTGGATACGATGGCCTTTGTAAGCTGCAGGGTGAGATTCCAGTATTTCAGCAGTAGGAATCTATAATCCTTGAGGCTTATGAGCAGCCACCAAAGAAATGCTTCGTGGAGTTTTCACCCTCATACCAGCTAAGAGCCTTTAGTTAGGAATGGAGTGCTAGGAATGGGGGAAGTGCATGGTAACAGGCTGGTAGATGGAAAGATGGGAGAAAAAGCTGCAAGAAAACGTTGTTCTAAAAGAAGCTTCCCTAGCAATAACAGGAAAAGGTCCATGTTGGTAAATCAACCTGTTGTATTGGGAATAAAGATACAACATCTCAGGCCAAAATCACACGAAACCCAAAAGTGTAATTTAGGATCAGGAGAAATGCAGCAAGTAAGTCAGACAGATTTTTTTCAGTTGAAAAAAAATTAGCATTAGCCTTTTTTGGAAATATGAACTTAAATTCTTTTAAACTATGCATGCCAATATGTGTGTTGATTTTAGCCTAATCTTTCCTCATCATCAACTTATACCGCTAAGATGCTGTGTAACTGTAGTCTAAACAGCAATCTCTCCTTGGATACACTCAAGAATAGAAGAAATATTGCAATGGACAGATGTACTGGAGGATTTTGAAGGATATTGGACAAGACAGGAAGGAGGTGGATCCTAAGACTGCCAGACCCATTCATTGGACAGTTGAAGGCTCTATGTCCACTGTTGGTTTAGTTGTGAGTAAGATGTTGAGCACCAGAGACTGTTAATTTCGTGTTGACCTGTTTCCTGGAAAAGCTTTGCAGAAACAAATGAGTAGAACAATCAAATGGGAGGGTAAACTTGTGAATACGTAATTTGATGTAAAGTTAAATGAATATTATACCAGCTATTGGGAAATATCTTACTAAGAGAGGATCCTCTGGAAATACCCGTGATGGGGGAGTCTAAATGGGAACAAGAACTGGCCCAGGACCAAGCCTTGACTATTCTAAGATGATGGACAGTGATTCCACGTACAGCAGCTTACAAGGAACAAATATGAAGCCATGGTGAGCAGGTGATGTTCACCTCTGTCCTTTCCCTCACCCACCCTTTTTAACAACTCCTTACCTGAGGTAGATGTTGCCCATTGCTTTTGGACTTCACTGTTCCGATAGGGTTGGCTATCATGTGCACACCATTCATATTCTATGGGGAAGCAAATGCCTTTGGATTAGCCTCGCTTCTATTCCAAGAGGCACTTAGATTAGAACTAATTGTGTTTTGTAAAACTCATAGGTAGTGAGTTTTCTAAAGATCCATTCAATTTTAGTTGTAAACTTTATTCTGGAAATACGTAAGATGTAAAAGAATAGCCTTCTCCATCTACTGTATAGTAGAATCTAACAGACCCTTTGCTAGAAGCTACAATTTTTAATATGTGCAGGTTGTTCTAAATGAGTAATGAGCCACAGCTGCAGAAGCTGGCAATACTTGGACAGTAAAAGATCATATCTGAACTTGCTAGAATCTGAGTCTGTATGCAGTTGTTAGTCTGCTGACTAGATCTCAGGCTTTCCATTAATATGTAAAACAACTCTACAGAGCCAGTTGATCCCCATCTTGATCTATGAAAGCAGGCTGCGAGGATAAACACAAGGCAGGCCATTCTATGACATATACTCTCTGCCAACAATCACTGCTTCCTGTTTGAAATAATAGAACTGACAGTATTGTCTTCAGAACTGTGTGGGCTGTTTTGATGGTTCTTGCTTTATAAGACAGCGTAGCGCAGAAGATACAGGTACAACCTGTGACAATACCTTCGTATGCATCAAGGAGCTGAAGTCTTTGGTAGTAGCACTAAAAACAAAGAAAGGAAAATATACTGTAATAAAGCCTCCCTTTTCCTCCCTAAAAAGGCACACACAAGAGATGGGAACTGCAACATCTGTGGAAGTACGGGTATCTGTAGACCACCATTTTTTAGTAAGTCTCATGTTGTATCTTGGCTAGACACACAGAAAAAGCCATCATATTCCATAGTTCTACCCCTAGCTGTGTAGCAATGGAGATTCCACCTCCGTGAAAGCAAAAATATGCATTCCTGATGATATACTCCGTTCTAAGAATGGGCTCCATTCACAACGTACTGAACCCACTGGGCAGTGCGATGCTACCGCTGTCTTGTTCTACTCTAATTCTTCCTCCAATAGCCTCTTCAATGTTGTTTCTGAGTACCTTCCTATACCACATTACAGCTTTCACTAAATCTGTCCTGTGAAGCTTGTGAACCATGCAAACAATTCATTGAACTTTTACTTTGACATTGAAATCATATTTATTTCCAGAAAATTGAATTAGCTAGTTTTTTTCTCCTACCAAATTTCAAGCTCTCTTTCAAACAATGGCATTTTAATAATAGTTCTATTATAAAATATCCCTTACATACTTTACAGTAGGGCTTAAAGGGATTAATGGCAAAATGCCTGACTGAGAGTGTGATTCTATAATGCACAGAAAATATGTCTGGGGTAAAAAGAGACAGCAACAGAGGGACTACAGAACCCGTCAGTCTCCAGATAATAAGAAAAATATTCAGGGCTTCCAAGTTAACCTAAAACCAGATGTGCTATTGGGATGTTAAGGTTTATTTTTAAGTAAATTTTAAAATATGCAACCAGAACTTCCTTCTCTTTTATTTTGAGCATTTGTTAATAAAACAGAAGGTGCTCAAGGAAGGACTACAGTTTATTCTTTCTTCTTGTAGCAATGTACTCCTCAGAAATTGTCCTATAGCATAGTTTTGGGACAATAGCTTTGTTTGTTCTCTCATGTATCCTGAAATGCTAGTTAATTTTTTAAATTTGACAAATTTCTTTGATCTCCCCTTATCTCCTGACTATATTTTACCCAATATAGAGACCTGGCTAAAACTGTTAGTGTTTCAAACTTCTGAAGAACTTTGGATTTATCGAAATAATTATTGTATAGGTTTTTTCCTTCTGCTTTGACATCTGTCTCTTGAATGCTCCTGGTGGCTGAGGATTTCCTATGGAATCCTCTGTAAGTGTCTTCCCCAAGACATGTTCCATGGGCACTCCACACTGTGTTTGGATTGTCTCCATCATTGTTTCTTCAGGGGACAGAAGTAAAAATCTGCTGACAGCACTCTCTCACACAGCACAAACACGGACTTTAAAAAAAGGTCACTCAAAACCTGAGAAACATTTCCCTTCCCTCTAAAATGACCATAGTGTTAAAAAATAAATGAATACCAGGGAGCTTGAGTGAGATCCAAAACATTACATTAATCCCATTTCTCATACAAGCCTTTGTTGTCAATCACATCTAAAACATTAACTTGCAAGCTTCTGTTTGCCCTTCCTGGTTCTAGTCCTGTGTTCATCTCATTGGAACCTGTGTAGGGCTCAAATCTCCAGTCGTGATGTACAGGATTCTTTCTTACTCCTCATTGATGAAGATAAGCTCCAGTGAAGCTTGGCCATGCTTTTCGGTGAGACCTGTAATGAGAGAAGAGAAGCAGCTCTAGAGGTGACAAATGAGCAGAGTCCCTGGACCTCAGTCCAGAGGCACACCATGGAACATGCAGGAGTTACTGCAAACAAAAGCTAAGAAGAACCTTCTCAGATACTCCGTGACCTCAAGCAGCATTTTATTGTGCTGTTTTGTCCTGTTCACATTCTTCTGGCAGTTAAAAGATTATCATGTCTATGAGATCTCAGGCTGAGATGTGAGAAGTTAAGCAAGGTTAAATAACATCATTGCTCAGCCTGGAATCTCTGAATGGAAAAAAAAAAAGAGAGAGAGAGAGAGAGAGAGATTTCCCTCCAATATCCATCCTTTCTAGGAAGGAATAAACAAAATAAACCCTAGACCTTATCTATCCAGGAGATAACTCTTTTGGCACCTTCTCTGAACTGGGCAGTCCAGGAGGGCAGGAAAGTGTGGCATTGTAAGTAAGTGTGCTCTTGCACGTGATGCCCTTAGCAGCTCTAGGATCCAGAGCAGCCCATTCTTTGCTACATTTCCTTCATTTTCTTCCCGGAGATTTCCCAGTGCTTCTTCAGTCTCCAGGCCACACACCCTCCTTCTGACCCCAAAGAAATTCTACGACATAAGAACTTATGACTCATGAACTCCAGTATATGCCCTAATTCGATCCAAGTAGTCTCCCAACTCCACTTCTCCAATCATATCTTGACACTATGAAAGAAATATCACCGTACAAAAAGAAACAGCACGAAACAGCATCTTTTTCAGTACAAATCAGACAGCTCTGACCTCAGTAGAGTTTGAATAATATATATCAGCAATTCTGGTCATTGATTAAAGGAGAAAGAATGGGCAATATGGGAAAATACCTATTGGCTCGTTTTCTTCGATAATGGTGCTGCCCGCAGTATTGATGACCTCACGCTCCTCCTCAGCATTCACTAGCTCCTGGAGCACTGCCTCCACGATTGGCATCACCATGGCTGTGGTGGATGTGTTGGAAAGCCACATGGATAGCACCGTGGTGCAACACATAAAGCAAAGAAGCAACCTGGAGTACAACACAATGAAGCCTTCTTGAGGCTCTTTCATAAATTTTACAAGGCCTCCTTGCCCAATATTTTCATTAATCAACTAATAATTACATCAGATCTTTTTTCTTTGTGGGTGCCAAAATACAGATAAAACGCTGCCTATGCTGAGAACCAGCACAAGACAATGCATCATTGGAAATCCATTGCTTCCCGACTTGGAAATCATTGCGTGAGATGAGAACTAGTGATTTTCAGGACATCCAGGGTTACTTTAAGAATACTTTTGTGTTTGCTAAACAGCAGGAAAAGAGGGAATAGAGAGACTAGGAATAAGAGAATCAGCAGCAAACTGAAATAATGGGATAAAAAGCTGATGAGTTAGAGGTGGTGGAAAGAGGATGAAAACATGTTAAGCCTTCAAACCCTGAAAGCAGTGGTGGAGTCAAAGCAACTACCCCAACTCCGCCAGCTTTCTCTTGTGCATGGGGAAGTTTGAGTTACTTGCTCTTTTAAGCTGCTGCTGTCAATTGTGAACTACCCTGAAGTCAAAGACTCACTCACATGCCTGGTTTTGCTCCAGCCATCATGACCATGCGCAGGGCAATTCGCTTGTGGAGATTCCATTTTTCTACAGAAGCTGCCACACAAATCACACCCATGAGGAGCAAAGTTGTGTTCTTGAAATATTCAGCAGCCACCTGCATTAAGGGCAAGTGCGAAACAATCAATTAAAACAGCAATAATTACCCTACACAGAGGACAATGAACAGAATTTTACTGTATGAGTAGAAATCTGGTATTGTGGGTTTTTTTTCTCCCTACAGAAAGAATGACAGGGAGCTGGAGAAACTGAATAATTCATTAGTCAAAATGCTCTCTTTAATCTATTTCATTTTGTGTTTACGAATAATTTTTACCCACTTCTAACTGGTTTCTCAGCTTTGAAGAGATTGAGAGAGTTCTTATTTCTTTGAGCAGGATGTTCATTGCATGGAGTCACTCATATTATCCAGCTAGGTCCAAACTCTAACAGTCACAGAGAAGTAGCACTGAGGGCAGCTAATGATGTGCTTTTTCATTCTGGAAATATCATTGCCTGTCTTTTCTGTACATCTTATATCTTGCTCAACTGTTGGGCACATTGTGGCTACTCTAGAATCTACAATTTCAAAAAAAAAAAATGCTTTGGGACACGTTCACTAAACCCAATAGTGAAAGACTGGGATATTGCTGTGATGTGCCACAAACCATGTGCCAGAACTTTTCACAATGGAAATTAATCTGCATTGTGTTAGGAAAATAGGGCAAAGTTTCAAAAAAGAGAACTTTAATTTGAAAGGGATGAGCAAAAATCAACAACTAGCTTGGGAAAAAATTCAGAGACCACGCATGGTCCTCCAAGGCAATGAACATTCTTGAACATGAGACTTGCTAAGACATCAGCAGATATTCTGTGAGGGGACTACAAAAGTAACAGACGAAACAAACAAAAACATACATGCGCGCACACACACACACACACACACACACACACACATGCACACTTTTGTGTGAAAGCAAGCAAAATGGGAACAAATGAAAGTAATAAATGAACATTCAGAGTCTAACTGAATTTTGTATTTGGTTCTAATGAAATCCTTCACACGTTGCTTCTGGCGTATTTTTTCCAAAAACATTGGTTCTTCAAATTAAAACTATTACTTTGACTAAATGTATGCTCTAGCGTATAAACACAATTAAAATCAGTAGGAGCAGTGTTTCTTCCATTGCCCTCAGTCATTCTGCAGTGCCTCCATAAAAGTGCAAGAATGACATTAATGGTATTTTGTGAATGCTGTAGTAAGTGTTAAGTATTTATTTATGTTTATTTAAGAAATCCCCATGGTGACCTAAATAGGCCTGGCTGTCATTATTGTGTGCCAGAACTTTTAAATATCAGTTTTCTGGCTTTCTTCCACTAGTTTCTGTTTCATTAACTTTCTTTATTTTCCTGCTACCTTGTTAAAAAAAAATCTTGAACTGCATGAAAGGAATCTTTCGAGCCAGAGCACAAAGAATCTGTTGTTTCCCTTTATCCCCTTCACAGTCATTTTGGAGGAACAAGTGAATACTAACGTTCTTATAAATACACACGTACACACACATAGAGCACGCAGACTTAGGCACTTAAGCCCCTGTGAGTTATGTTTGGCTTAAACTGCGAGGCAAGAACCCTGGGTTTCTATGGCACTCCAGAGCAGCAAACTGGAAATACTGCAGCATCATCAGACTTGCTTATTTTAAAATATAAGTTTTTATTTCTGTTCCTAAAGCAAATAATACATTCTCTGCAGCAGTTCTACTGTCATTTAATTTGAAATTACGTTGAATTTCTGTCAGGCTGCCCCTAAATTTTGCATCTTCAATATACTGCAGAGTTTTGCAATGAAAATGCCTAAGTACTTTACGTTAAGAGAAAAAACTCCTGAAAATATTTAACAATGTTGTTATGGAAATGTACCTAATTATGTTATGTAATTTTTACACCATTGGGAGGAATAAGACAGGCCATAAAACCCTTGGTTCATGCTTGACTCCATTCATTTATGGACATGCCCTTGAGCTAGATTGTGTTAGAAATACAACAACTTTATGGTTGCTATATATTATGCTATGTTCTTATCTACATTTCTAGTTCCTATAAAATGAATGTGACACCTCCCCTCCCAAAAAAGAGGGAAAAAAGGAGAAAAAAAACTGCAGATAAAATCAAAGGAGCTTCTCCACATCTCATGAAAGAAAAATACATTCAACAAAAACTGAGGTAAGAAAATTCAGAACTTATCAAAGAGACTTTTCTGTACAATTACTCCTTTCACCTTAGAACTCACAGCTACTATGCAGTGCTAAGGTTAAGGCATGGAGAAGGAATTAGCCATTCTCCTGAATAATAAAATTATCTAGTCTTTTATAGTAAATGCTAATATTATCTTCAGGATACATAGCCTCTTGCTTTATACATCATCTATAACAAATATCGTTGGAAAGAAATTTCCCAATTTATCCCATAATTGCTGTTTACATGGTTTTGGAGAAGGGGGAAGGTGGAGTCTTTTGATACAATAGGTGTTGGAAATCGTTGATGATGCACTAATTGATTGGATGGGCACCACTCTTGGTTACCATGGCCAAACCTATGTCTATCTTTTTTCAGTAGAAGAAAGTGCTGTTACACAAGTTACACACTGTAAGATGTACACTTCTTCCTCTTAGACTCTTTCTAGTCCACTTAGATTTATTTTATTCAAATAATTAACAGAGAGTAAAAAAAAAAAAAGGAAAGAAAGAAAAAAAAAAGAAGAAAAAAAAGTACACACTGGTCTGACCTCACTGGATTTCATGACTCCAAAAAGTGGGTATAGGAAAGCAGGAACTAAGGCTGCTGCACCAAGAGGTACTGCTTCAGAGACCCAGTACACAGCCGTCACGATCAGCACGTAGGCACATGAGGCTTCCTGTAGGGAGAAATCATTGCAGTTACATGTTATTACCATACCACTTGCTGTGGAAGACTTTGTAAATGAGTTCACAGAACACGTTCCAGCTAAGGATGCCTGGACCAGAAGTGTCTGACAAGGACCACGTAAGGATCTCCTAAAGAGCAGTTATCTAGAACTGAAATCTAGGCTACCATCCTGCAGGCCAGTTTCAGAAGAAGATGATGTTAATGAAAGGTTTTGCACATGATCTAGGGCAAAACATTGAGATAAACTTGTAAATAAGGAAAATAATGGTTCCAAGTGCATTGTCCAATTTTTTTTGATTTCCATAATCTGGTATTTACCAAACATTCAGCCTGTGGAGCTGTAATTTCTACATGGCTTTCTCTCCAGTACTGGACAAGCCCAGGAACATATAGTTTTTAGGATCAGATAAGAATGCTCTCTCTCACCATAGCATGTCTAAAGCTGTGCAGTGGCTGCTTTGAAACATACCCTGAAAGGCTGCTCTCTTTAGATAGTATGCAAATCTAAATTTTTTGTTGGTAGGTTTTATTTTCTCAGTAAATTTCCAGAGACACTTAGGAGAAGTCCATGGACCCCAAGGGCCTTAGAGGCCACGGGTTAAAATACAAGTTAAACAAATTTGCTGCTGTCCAAGGTTCTGGGATGGAAAGCCTTGACAACACCATGCTGAAAGTTCATGGTGAACCAGTGATCACCATGGTATGGAGAAAGATTGTATCTACTTAATATAGCTAGTCCAGTAAAGTCTTCTGGTACATTTTTCAGATAGATATATCTTTATTTATGGCATTCAGTAGAGCTCTCCTTAGGCTCAGTTTGTTATGTTTAGAATTCTAGGAACATTTCCTCTATCCAGTCAGGTAAAACGGCAGGTCTATGGAAGCTAGTAGATCCTCACTGATTTGCATCAGCTAAAAATCTATCCATTCTTCATTATTCAGTGGAGATTTCATTTGAACATATCAAGCCTTTGGATTCCCAACTCGCAATGACGATTATTTAGAAAATTCACTATTCATGGAAGACTGTTTGAACTGTGTTCAAATATAGTTTCATTACTTTTGTTGCTTGATTGGATGACTCTCAAACCAAGCAGCTTTCAAGAATCACAGGAGCAATTCCAACAGATCCTTGTGCTAATCAATGAGCCCGTGTGACTCTCCACTTTTTGCAAACAGCTTTGTAAACAAGGTGGCAAAGTCTAAACTAAGACTATACAGTGGTCTGAATTCATTGGAATGAATCAGTAGCTGTTATTTAAATTTATGTTTATAAACATTATGTTACATTGCCCTTAACGAAGAGCGATGTTCAGCTATTCCTGTTTCTTAGTACTGCTCATAGTGGTAACAGCCAGAGCATAGCCCAGAGAAAACGTTAAGACAGATTTCTATGTTCCATTTCCTCTATTTGCTTGAAAATTATTGCCAGGCTTATTCAGAAGCCTGGGTTTAGAGTAGCTGCCAGGTTTCCTATTTTGGAAACGTGTGACATTAAACACTTCTGATTCAAGTAACAAGAACCACAAAAATTAGTGAAATAGGAATATCAGGAAAAATAACTTTCTTGAATCAGGTAAACTCCAATGACTTTAGCGACTATAAGGAGTCTCTGAAATGCTATTGGACAAGTAGACAAACTTAGCTCTGGATTGCTCACTCATGGCTGGAAAAGTACATTTGAAATTCCACACCATGCAGAAACATGTGCACATTTGTTTCTCTTCCTTAACATTTATGGAAGAATTGTTTATGTTTTAAGCTCCTGAGTGGAGGTTTCACTACTCCTCTACGACTGGGTCCTTTAGCAAAATACACTAAAAGAGTGTATTGCAGTTGGAGCTTCATTATTACCAAGACAAAGTAGAAAAGACTAGGCTAGAATGGATGATATCACAGTTTTGGGTTTTATTTTTTATATTCATGGATTACGGAGCAAACATTTTATGAAATCAATTACTTTACTGTTTGAAACTCCAAGGATTGGTGTTAAGTTGATAGCAGCTTCAAGTGACCACTCAATAAAAACAGATTTTGACTTAAAAATTAAAATCATTTTAAAAAAATAGAGTTTTTTTAATAATCTGCAGTAGGAAGACAAGACTATTTCAGGTAAAGGTCATAAGACTTATTGGTTCAAAAACATTAGCCAACTCACTGCTTAGTCACCTTTAGCTGCATTAGATTTCATGGTTGATATTCCGTAGAGAGCAGAATTAGGGTCATTTTTGTCAGCTAGTGACAATATGGCACATTTTTTATTGGTTTAACTCATCATTTCCTGCTAACAAGCTTCCATGTTTGCATAGACACTGTATGACATCCTGAATGTATCTGAAGAGAAAAAATGCTTTTAATGAAAAACATTGTTTTTTTTTTTAAAAGAGAACAGATGCACCCAAAGGATACAATTTTCCAAAATGCACAAAATGTGTATCATCCTAGCCTAACCTCAAACTACTTCTTCCATTGAATAGTTCCCTGTAATGGCTTTGAGCATAAACTGTTACTCTCTGCTGCTCTTTGTGTGTATTGATAAAGTAGAGTAATAGTGTAAATGGCATAAGACAAAGGAAAAGTTACGTTTTTATCAAAATCTGACTGGGATGGACACTCGACACTCAGTCTTTGTGTATCCTATACACTGGTCTGTGATCAGTTTGCAAACAAAACTAAAAGAAAATAAATTTTAAAATGGTATAAAATTGGGTAGCAAGTATTGGGATAGCAAAGTCTCTGTTAAAAACTTAATCAGATTCTCTAGTAATTTTCTCTATTTATGCTCTGAGTACTTTAAACCAGCTTGTTTCCAAGAGAAACCATACTAATCTCTTCAATTTAGTTGAACTGAATTTATGTATTTAATTAATGGTTACCAGAGCTACTAAGTACTGAAGTATTGACTGTATAATATTAACTGTTTTCACCCTTCTCCCTTCTTGTTGTTCAGTTGAAAATGATTGTTAACCCAACCCAAGGGCCTGAAGTAGGGAGCAGGAAAACACAGTGCAGTGAGATAGGGTGGGATGGTTGGGGGGCCTACAACTTATCTTTAGTTAATCTCTTAGGGGAAAAGAAAATAGGAGCTGAAAGTCAACTATGGCTAAAATATTCCACAATAAAGATCATGCATAAAACTTTTGTCACTAAAACATCTGAGGATCTCAGGGTGGTTAAAAAAAAGAATAAACTCTGGATTGAGGATTTGCTCAGTTACAGATGTGCTTTGCGTATCTTGCACGCAAGCGTGTGTTTAATCAGTGCAAAGAATCAAGCAGTCTTTGGACTACCATCTCTGAAAGGATGGGATAACCCTGTGATTCCCTCCCCTCAGCTTGTGTGAATTACAATTAAGGTGAATTGAAGCATGCCGTCTGTGGCTATTTAGAGCATGTTCTGTGCCTTAGAGTCCGTCCCACTGAAATCGCGTGCCGAGATGTTAGCATCACCAGATGCTGCATGTCTATCAGCTTTCAGCATCTCCTGTTGGCTCTTGATGAGCCATCCATATTCCTTCAGATGGGCTCAGGGTGGCCACAGGATCAGCTGTCTCAAGAGATTCTGCCCACAGCTCGCTCTATTTGCATGGCATGCTTTATGATATCATAGGTGGCTTTATGGAAAAAGAGGGAGGATAAAGATGAAAAATGAGATAGAAATGTTCCCCCATCACTGCTAACAATGAGGAAGTAAGGAGAGAATAAAAAAGACCCAGAATTTGGAAAGCACACCTTTTTTTCTGTAGGTGCCAAGGACTGAAAGGTGCTTATGGGTATCCCAAATCTTCTCTACAAGCTGCAATTCAAGTACAAACTTTGGAAAAGGAAGCAGAAAACAAGTAAAAACTCTCAGATTTATTTTTCACCCAATCATTTCTTGTTATAAAATAGTAGAAAGGAAGCCATGGACATGCTCCCTTTGATGGCAGTTGCCACTACACATGGTCCTTTGTCATTCCCAGAGTTGTGCTGATATCATCAAAGAAGCTGAAAGCTGATTCCCTGCAGAAATGCATATATTAACCACTTGGTAATTGTGATCTCTGAAAGTCAGGAAACTAATATAATGCTCTAATAAATGAAAATTTAAGTAAGTCAGCAGTTGGGGAATCTTCAGGTTTAAGAAGTAATCACAGTCAATGGGTTGTAACAAAGTAAATGCTACACTAGAGCACTTGAATAGCATCCTGTCCACTGAGTTTATTAGGTTTAGATATTTTCTTAATAGCATTATTAATACTTGTCCTTTGTAAGATTCTGGGTCAGGTTCATGGTTATTTTTTACCATTTGTAATCATACACACATATGCAAAGTGGACGTAAAACATCATCTAATAACTTTTTATATCACTTTGTAGAAGAGCAACATGAAGAACAGAGTGATAGTGCAGAGAAACCTGTAGTACGTAACAGCAGTTCTTGCAGCGGTACTGTCACTGAACTTCTGTTTCAAAACATATATGATGATATTACAGTTCCCTTGGTTATTAAAGGATTTCCATATTGCATCCTATGCCTCTGAATCCAATAGGGAGCCAACAGGAGTAACATATTTTAGTACAGTGAATCTAATGCTCTCTAAGAGAGGATCTTAAAGGATATAGAGCATGCTATAGTTACAGTGCCATCGGGGCTCGTCAGGGGGAATTTATTTTTATATTGCCCTTCTAGTGAGATGAGGAGACGAAAAATTCTTTAAAATAAGCTTCTGTAAAAAGGTAGGCCTTGCTATTCTCTGGAGAGAACTGTGACTATCTGCAAGAACTGGCAGAATGGAAGCCAAATTCAGGCAAGACTGGTAAAGGAGCCTCAGGTCATGTTGTTGCAGTCATCTTTCCCTCTCAATGCAGAAGAGATGGAAAATCACTGTAACAGCGTAGCCAAGAGATAGGCATTGAAGATTGGAGGAGGAAAACTCACTCCAAAGTGGAACGTACAAATCAGTAGAGTTGGAACATTTCCTTTCTGCGAATCTTGTTTCTCTTTCCTAACAAAACCCTACAGTTTTATTTTTGAAAAGTATTATACAATTTCTAATCCTTTGCACTCCTATTTGATAAAGCAGTAGTATTCATAAATCCTCTGGTACTGGAAGGAAGAATTAATCTTCAGCAGGGTACAGAAAGGGATGGAAATCACTGCACCATTTGGTCAGATTTACTGCTAGCTCTATGGAATCCACTGCAGCTGCAGAATTTTTAATACCTTACAAATGCTGATGAGTTAAACATCACTGTCTCTGTGAGGTAGAAAAACACGGTTATCTTATGCTTTACAACTGCAGAAACAGCCATAAAGAAGGGTTAAGACTACTCAGAAACTCCTGAACAGTGTCAGGAATACAGCTACATTCACTCCTACCCCCTGATCTGCATGTTAAGCACAGACTATTTCCCACTTCGTATTGTTGTGGATGTTTCTGAGACATCATCTATTAGCCACTGCCAGAGCTACAATGTTGCAGCAGAGGTATCTACACCTGATTTAGAGTAGTGGAGTCTGTGTGTGGTCCTACGTGCCTCTCACTGAGCCCTAGCTCTCTGCTGTGTTCTCTTGAATTGCTGTCCTATAAACCCATCCTAGACTGAAAAACCTTCCATACATACTTACAAATAAAAATGAAGGACACTTAAAGTATTCCTTTTAAATACTTCTTCTGAAAGAAAACTTTTTTTATTTAGCATGTTTATTCTGTCCTCCCCCTACCCCAAGCACACTATTGCAAAAAAAAAAAAAAAAAAAAAAGATACAATATCTTTGCCTTAAAATAGTACTTTACTAGCTTCACCTACGGTTATTCAATTTTGCTTGTGACATGACTCAAGGTAGCTCTGGTGATAACAGTAAGAATTCTCTATAACTTGTATTTCATAGTTCTTCAGATTTCAGTCCTTGATATTTCTAAGAGTAATGTTTATTTAGGTCTTCACCTTTCTTGTTACCCACTCCACACTTATCTAGCATGACTACCTATTGCACTCAGAGGCTTTGTTAAGAAAGAAAAGGAAAAGGTACTTACACTGCTGGGGTATAAAAGTGGCAAAGGAAGCAGCAGAAGTGGAATGAGAACAACCAGCAAAAGATTTCGGGGTCTGAGTTTTTCCTTCACTATTGCCATATTCCTTTACTTTAGTTGCTTTCTTCTTGGAATTCTTCTCTAGTTTGTTGGATACTCCAGCTTCCACTCCAAGTTCTCTTTCACTTTTGCCTGGATTTCCCTGAAAGGGCTCTCTCTCTCTTGTTTCCTTTCCCCAACCAGTCACCCAAAATGACTTAACTTCTTTCTTTATTCTTCAATCTGTTGTTTTGAAAATGAACTTTCACTATTTATTTATTAAAAAGACATTCAGTTTATGTAGGGCTCAACAGCTCATCCAAATGATTATCACAAGATAACATGCAGAGGTTTGCAAGCTGGAGCATAGTGATCTTTTAACAATTTTTATTTTTAATTCAGAATAACAAATGTAGCTGTGTTGCCTTCTCACCCCCATGTTTTGGGAGATTTTTCTCTTCCATTGTCTGATTTGTAGTAATGTAATTCCTGTTTTCATAAACCAGGTTGAATATTTCTATGGTTGCTTCCAGTATTTTCTGACGTCGCTTTTCCTCCTGTTTGCTAGTCTGAACGTCTCAAATCCAGATTTCTTTTCTGCTGGAAAATGATTAATACTAACAACTTCTAGTTCAATGCGCGCAAACAAACCTATAGATATTCTTTTTTAAAAAAGGTTAAAACCTCCTCTGTTCTTTATATTTTGCTCTATTTAGATTTTGCCTCTTCACTATAGATTTGGCTTCTACTTTGAATCTACCTTTACCCTACTTTTGTTTTGAGCTTGGAATTCACAGGGCAGTAATTCCAAAACAGATTAGACTTGTTCTCAAAATAAAAACTTGCTAAAAAGCTTCATGCAACTCTAAATCACCAATGAGGAATGTAGAAACCAGTAGTTGCTCCACCCCTTATCCAAAATCCAGTCAGAACATTTGAGAAAATTAGTAGCCTCCTCTTTCTTATATACACACACAAACATATACACACAGATATACAAAAAGACCCTTTCTTAGTTACTGAACAATTTGTTATTATGTCAAGGTCCCAGTACCGATGATAAATAAATAATCATTGTCTTCCAGACAGCAGCTACTATTCTCTCATGCTCATTCTGTCCTGATCCATGAAAGCTTTTTATTCATAAGACTATTCTCTGCACTGAGGCATATGCCATCAGTAACAGCAGGATTCAGACTCGAATTCAAAAGGTTTAGGCCTTTTACTCTGGTCTTCCAGTGGAGGTGAAAACATCTGTTATTAATGCTCTTTGTGGGGCAGAAAATACGGGAGATTTAGGACTGAATCCCTTGGCCTGTTGCATGCACAACTTGTGAATATCAATTTGCCCTGCATCTCATAGAAAGCCACACATCTAAGGCTTCCCATGCTCCCAGACCTGCCCAGCTTCTCTATCATGTCCCCACATTCAGCTCGTCAGTGTCCCAGGCTGAGCTGAGATGCTGCTACGACACTGAGTACTGGAGAACTGGCAAAGAGCGTTTAAAAAATCTCAACAAGTTTAAAAATATTTTATTGTACATGAACAAAATAATGTTTAGTTATACCTTTTCCACATGATCCGTACCGTAAAAAAGATGCCATTTAGAGGCAAAGGCTGTTCATCCCATGAGAGAACCACCATCTATAAACGTTGCCTCTGTTTGAGGTAAATGAAACAGAGCTAGCGAGAGCCAGCAATCTCATCTCTCCCTCCTTTGGGAGCAGACATCCTACCTCTGTATTTCGAACAATTCTGGGGGAGGGAAGCTGCACTAAGCACAGAGAAACACCCTGAGGCGGAGCACTCCCTCACACCCCAGCTCTCTGGGGAAAGGAGGCTTTCTCACCCTTATGTATTGCCTCCTCCTCTCTGTCAGAAGGAAGGATTGTGCCTCCTTCTCTCCTGTATCCTTGCTGCCACAAATAGTTTCATAGACTGAGATATCCTATTATACATGTTGCAAGTCATTAAATAGCAAATCTGCTGCTGAAATCAATTCACTGCAAAAACAAATAATTTTATGTAGATTTTTTTTTATTACATTAACAGATCTCTGTTAAATTAACATGGGCAGTCCAAGCACAGTCCCAAGAAATCTCTTTTCTTACATTACACATAGTAAAGGAAGGAAGGAGACAAACTCAAGAAGACTTTATTTTCTGCTGAGGAAATAAAGGTTTCAATTACCAATCTGTGAGGTACAGTATGCCACAGGGAATGATAGGATGTTCAAAATTTTCTGTGATTCTTTTCTGTGGGGCCCACGATACCTACCAATGAATAAACTCTGACTGCTAGACGGTTTTGTTGCTGGGTAAGGAGGGTGGCTGGGGAGGGATTTCTCTGGGCAGTAAGCGCTAAGAATACTTTCTGTCATCCTCTCTCCTGTTATCCTTGCAAATTTGGAGTCACTGGCTGTAAAGGGATTGATGAATTGCCCTGGTTGCAGGCTCTTCCAGCAAAAGGTGCTTTAGGGAGCGGAAGAAGCAAAGCCTGAAAGGGAGATACCTGCTAAATGGCGTTTCCCCTCCTCATGAGTTACTGTATTAATAAAGCATGGTGTGTGGGAGGAAAACACAAACAGATCATCGGTGTTCATGCTGCAGGCTCAAAGCACACAGGCTGTAGTGCAATGCTGCTTTGCAGATGCTGAGCTGTGCGTGCTAGCAGAGGAGATGGACGAGTTTGTTACTCACAGCTTCGTGGCTGAATTTTTCAGTTTGCTGTGCCATATGTCAGCCAGACTGAAGATGGCCAGTAAAGTGCTCCGGGTATAAATGTGCACCTGCACATATGTACCTATACATGCAAACACATCGCACCCATGCATACTCATGCAGAAACTGCTAGGGACGCACACGATTCACTTGCTTTTACAAGCGCTTTGTCCAGCTGTTTATGCCTTTGCCTTTGCCAGCCTGCCCTGGAGGCTGCTGCAGGCCCGCATGCCCAGTGGTGACTGCCAAAGCCCAGTGCTCTGACCACTTGCACCACCTGCAGTTTGCTGCAGTCAGGTGGTGCCAGATTGTCCGTTCTAGCTCCAGGGTTTGGAGTATCCCTGTTCAAGGACATTGGGGGGTTTTACTGTTTCTTTTGCCCAAGCGATGCAGAAAGATGCAAACGTGGCTCAGAACTGGGGCTGGAGTCCTCAGTTGTCCTTTATAGCTTAGGGATATTGGATTTGGGCCTATCTCTTTAACATATTATGTAAAGAGACAGAGAGTGTTGGTTTGAAAGGAAGAAATAGATATTCAGCTGATCTTCCACACTCTGGAAGTAGAAAGACCTCTAATAGCAATGAGAAACAGCATTTATATGACTCATTCACAAAAATTAGGGGACTGGCTTTAGAAGAGTTTGGATTTTTCATTGCTAGTCACCTGCCCGGCAAAATATATCCCCTTTTTCTGTTCATTAAGGCCATATCTTCCATAGTTTTCTCACAATTTATAATAATCTGTTCCACTACTTCTGCAAGCAATTTTTGCTACAAACCAACAGTTTCCCTTCTGCCCCCATAATCGCAGGCTGGCAAATGTCTTCTTCTAGCAAGTGGTGTGATATGATTGTTCCCGACTGAATGATTTAGGATTCGTTCATGCACTCACATGCGTGCGCACGCACACACACGCGCGCGCACACACACACACACATAGATGCAGTATATTACAATTAAAGATGAACCACGCTGCAAAATTCAGCACCAGGTATGATTTAATTTACTTTCTTCCCTTGCCTCATATTTTACAATTAAAGATGAACCACGCTGCAAAATTCAGCACCAGGTATGATTTAATTTACTTTCTTCCCTTGCCTCAGGGGAATTCTGAAGCACAGTCTTAGATGAGCTATGTTCAAGTGATAGAACCAGGAAAAATGTGTTATTGTTAAATCAAACAGGGCCTTTGTCTCCCCTTGGACTCCGCTGAGGACAAATCCGTTTTCCTTTCAAGAAATAGGAGCAGAAGCAAAGTCATGTGCAAATAATGAAAGGATCATTATACACTGTTTGGGAGAACTCTTCTGGGAAGCAGGGAATTGTTTGCTGCTGGTGTTCACAATGCCCTTTGTCTTCTGCAAATGTTATTGTGATTAAAAACTGACTCAGCCAAATTACTATGAAGCAGACAGTGCTTATTTTCAAGAATATTTGGAATGAATATATTTGCCATTATTTCTGATTTTCTTTTACAGAGGGCCTTTTCATCTCTTTATAACAATCTCTGACTGGACACCACTGGACACCTTTTTTCCCAGCTAGGAAAACAGCATTCTTCAGCATAATGCACATCAGTATGCATGTATATTATGTATATGTTTATAGGAATTACACAGGTTGACATAAGGGCATATCTATATGGTGCATACACCAGACTCCTTTCTTCCCCCTGTCACAGAACATACCTCCCAGCCAGTGCAGAAATGAATTCCAGGGACTGAAGATAACATTTTTCTCTGTTTACCATGTATCTATCTATAAAGTATCTATTCCATGAGGGGGAGCTAGAAAACAAATAATCTTTAACTAAGCAGGCTATTAAACTGTTTACAGAGTAAAGTGGTGGACGTGCTACACGTGTCCCTTATCAACGAGAAGAGATGGCTGGGTTGCTGGTGTATTAAATCTTCCACTATGATGGCTCTTTGTTGTATGGAAACATCAAGTCGTGCTTCAGGGCCTTGTAAAGATTGACAAAAGATTCAGCCCAAATGTCCTTCTGGTGCCCCTGGGATTGAGCAGCCCTGTAGGCCGTGTAGACCATGGTCAGCACTGTCCTTTCAAAGTCTTCTTTCTTGAGGACTCTCGGGTAGGCGGACAGCCTGCTACTCAGCCTGCGGATCTCTGTGATGCTCTTGGGGATAACCTCATTGCAGATGGTGTCAAACTCAGCAGCCTTCCTCAGCGAAGCCAGCTCCTCATCTTTGATGGAGATTCTCTGACTTTTGTCAATGTCAAGCTCAGCTAAAAGAAACTGGTACAAAATCAGAACACAGAAAGCTATTTATCTTCTCCAAAAGAGTCTAGGCAGATTAAATGTGAATTCACAACATGCCCTTAGGTCTTTGCTTTAGGTCAAACGTAGACAAACCTCTCATAGCACTGGCTGGAGGTGGGGCAAACCAGAAAGTCTCTATGTAAATGTTGCACTCAGTTCTGTGTTACCTACCTGGGAAAATCAGAGACTGGCTATGGGCGGGGGAGGAAGAGGAAAGAGCGGATATTCTTCTGTTTTCTTACATAGGCAGGTTGGTGCCATGTGGGGATTAGAGAGATGGGAGATAGCCATTCTCCCCCGCCTAGCGCCGAGAAAGCAGCGGTGGCCTGGCTCTGTGTGAGAGCACAGAATAGATGGCATTTAGCTTCTCAGCTGGCATTCTCTGCTTAGACATCCAATCCGAGTCTACTCAAAGTGGGAAATAGATTTGGCCCAGGTACCTTCTTCAGGTGGCCTGCTTTCCCTTAGCTAATAACATGAAACTATTGCAGATTGTGCATTATACCTGCAGTCTCTACTAGTGTGGAAGCAGGGATCTGAATCATTTTTAAGCGAAACTGTCACACCCTGGAGATTTCTTTGCAATGACTGATATTGGTGGCTTTGATAGTTTGATCCAATCATTTGGGGTTGAAATTCGGATTAAATAATTTAAATGCATTATATTGTTAATACATAAATGTTCTGGAAGGAAGTTACTTTCAACGGAGAGCCATAGGCTCTGGTCTTCACTTTGCCTGTGGAGCAACTAGAACTCACATTTGAAGTACCTCAGGCTGCTGCATGCTTTACGAGCTGAAAGAGGTGAGTATGGCATATATATGTCTAGCCCTTCCCTTCTGGTGAGCTACTAAACTGTCAGCAATGGGTTTATGGCTGGGCTGAATAAAAATGACATGGAAAGAGATAAAGGATAACCCTAGTACAGACAATAACCGCAGTCTTGGTTAGGGTTTGAGGTACCATTTGGTCTCATATACTGAACCTCATAAAGCAGGACCACATCTTCCAGCGAGTTTTGTAGTACTGGGTTAAGGAACATGGCTGAAGACCTCTTCAGTCGCTGAGCAGCTGGGAAAAGCATAGCTGGAAAACAATAATGGGAAAACAGACGTTTCAGAGTGCAGCCAACACTGAAAACAGTAGTAGATTCAACTAAACAATTGCCTTCTGTAAAAACTTACTGTAAAACATGACTTCTCATTGTAAATAAAATGAATCACATGGGCTGCTTTGACAGTAATCTGCTAGGGAGAGAGATCAGCTGTTTGCCCTGTACCTATACAATGTCTAACACAGCAAGGTTACAATCCAGGCATGGGACTCTAAGGTGCAGCTACAGTGTAAAGAATAATAATTATCACTGCAATAACAACGGAGGTTAACATGCATGTTTTACTCACGACTCAGGACCAGGGGAGAGAATCTGTGACAGAAATGAGTACTGGTCCTACATACAGCCTCTGTTTTTCAGGCCTTTCTACTATTGCCACACTTCTGGAACCCTATATTCCTCTTAATTACGGCTGTCTAGAATCTGATCTCTCGCTGGGTGACAGACAGACCTCTCCTCCAGAGAGCAGATCACCTCATCTACCCTGGAGTATATATCTGGAAAGAGTGACTCAGTCTTAGGGGACGCCTTTGCCTCTTCTTTGACTGCTGAGTAAGCCTGTGACCAGCTTAGGCCAGACAGCTAAAAAAAGTGAGGTGAATTCCTGTCTCTCTTATGACTTAAATGCTACATAGCCTCATAGCTAATTGTTCAGTCTACTGTGGTCAGGTATTTATTTGCTGCAACAGATATAGGAAACATCTGATGATGCATAACAGATCATCTACATGCTTTGAGTTACTACAGTGACTCCCTAGGAGGTGTAAATACATTTTGGAATACAGAAAAAAACTGTTCTATTTGATGTTATGTGTATATGAACTGGATGTTGGTAGTTTGGAGCTGTTCTTTCTTTTCTTTCTTTTTTTCCCTAATGCCTGGGAACAGGAACTTTTTAAAAGCTGTGCTTATGTGATTATTAGTACATTTTATCTTCTCCACTTTAATTATTGTTCAAAATTGCAGAGATTTGGAAACTTGTCAAAAAAGAGAGAAAAAAACCCCCCAGGATTCTACAATTATGAATAACATTAGATTATTTCTGAGTTTCTGAAAGATTTCATGCCACCCTTTATCTATCAATCAGATTTATTTTCCATGAAATATTTCTAACTAGCTCAATTTTGTCTTGTTTTTCTGAAGTTCTTGTGATGGATTTTGCATATTGCCTGTAGAAAACCTGAAGGTCATTTAAAAGTCTCTCTGTCAGGTGTGTAAAAATTTTCTGGAGTACCTGTAATTATTTTACAGAAAAGTTGCCCTGGTCCCTGACTGCAGAGTTTCTCAGACAATTTTTACCTTTGATTGCCTAAGCAGCTGACAAATATGCAGTTCTTTCAAGACTCTGTTACTTTAACATAGGCCTGTTTTCTGGGCTATTGCCAACTGTTGACTTTAATAAAGTTTGACTTGTTAATGATATTTAACTTCTAGTGATGCAAGGAGAATGAAACCAGGCCTCAAGAGATTTAGTTAATTAGAATCTTTACTACTTGGCATAAAGAAAATTAATTGTGGTAATACTAAGTATAAAGTAACTCGTGCTTGACCCAGCAAGGGGTATTTTGGCCTTGAGTTAAACATAGTATAGGTAGAATGGCTTGTTAAATTGCAATATACATGTCGGAGCTGGATACTGCTAACGTCAAAAGGGTACTTTGGTGATGGGTGTCAGGCATTTTGGTATGACACCTACAGAGCTAGGTTCTTCCCGTTGGATCCATATGATTTTAGATTAGTATTTGTTTAAACAATGGAATAGTACTTGCAGGGTATGTGGCTAAGAGCCTGAAGGACTGAATGTACCAAATAAAGGACCTGAGCTGTTGAAAAGGACTTGCTTTCTGCTGTACCTTTTGTCCCATGTGATGCCTTTGCCACCTGATCATCTTGTCTGGCCATGCTGAGGAGGTGGGGAGTTTGGAAATGTCCCAAGCCGCCTGCAGACTCTGCTCTGTGACAGTGCTCAGCTTCACATTCAGCAGTGTTCATTTGTCCCTAGGTAATAACTGTTCATAGGACAGCCAGAGGGATGAGCTGATCAGAGGGATAGGCATCTCTATTTCTTGGCATGCCCTGCCTTAGTAACAACACCTCTGGTCTCTCTAGTGTCCTTCCTATTACCTTCCTGCTCTTGGAGAAAGGAACCTAGCTCTGCTACAGCCTGGTTTTGACCCAGATAAACATGTCTGATCATCAGCAAACAGATGCCATCCCTTTTTTGTGCTGCTGCTTCTTCACCAGCACTCATCCCTCTTGCTCAGAGCTTTGCTGACGCACACTGGAGCTATTCCATCTTTCACTCTTGGTGGTTGGAAATGCAATTGAGTGCATGTGTAGCTCTTGAAACTTCAAGTACTAATTGCTGAGTAATTAAAACTTTTATCACTGGGCAATTAAAGCTCTAATTACTAAGCAGCTAGCAGAAATCCAGTCCCTAATGATGATGATTAATTTTTATCTCTTTTAGATGCCCTTTCAATAGAAATAGCCCCAAGGGGCAGAGTACCTATACATATGGAGATGGTTTACGTCTCAAAACTTCCCTGAGCCATGAAAAAGGTGTCAGTGGTGTCTTGCGTCACTTCTTTCGTGCTTATTGCCACCATACTGATCACTTTTAGGTTTTAGGCCACGTGCAAATTTCTATTACAGACCTGAGCTAGGAGTCATCGGATTCAGCTGATCACCACTCACCCAGAAAAGCCTCACCAAAGGATTTCTCCTTCCCTAAATATTACAGTACTGACTTAGCACTGACCCGCTTGCTGAATCACAGGCAACACTTTGGGAGGGCATCTGGGTTTTCCTATCCAGCTTTTACCAAGATGACATGGATTAGGTTAGGGAATTTGAAGGGACAAGCTGCTATAGTGTGAGAAAGAGCTTTGTGTGCATGTCAGAAGCGTATTATCCTCAGTAGAGACCAGGCCAGCACTAACTCCCTGAACTCATTATCTTGTTCCCAAAACATATGAAACTTTGTTATGGATCTTACAAACTCAGAAACTCTTTCTGAGCTCAATCCTTATTTGTCATGGTGATTAGATTTTTCTGTTTCACATTTTATCTCAGTCCTTCCCTTTCTCTCTTTTCTTGCACAATATTCAAATCCTTCCACCATCACCCCCACTGCAATGGTCTCCATGAAATCCCATGTTCCTCAGATATTCCGTGAGCATTTAGAAAAAGCACTTTCTGATTTTCATTGCAATAACTTACAAGGCCTGTAAGTTTAGCACAAAAGCTGAGACACAGAAAGGTTTGCAGGCAGTCTCTGCGTTTCGAAATCATAAATCCCTCTTGAAACTTTTCTGCTGACCTGGCCTCCTCTCATATTTACTTCTAGCTCTGACGTGAGTTAGCTGTGCAATATCAAAGAATAGCACAGGAGTATTTCTGTGACTTATCATCTTTTTACCATTTTCTACCCCAAAGAAATTTCCTGTAACATTATTGATTATTTCTTAGGAAGATGAGGAGCAAGTTGAATATTTTTGTAGTGATGATGCAGCCAATTCATTTCAACAGAAGTAACTGTTAATGTCTGGGGAGAGTAGATCCCTAATCAGTACTGACAGAGGGCCCAATCCAGTGCTCACTGAAGTTGATGGAGATACTCCTATTGACTTATTGTTTTTGCTTTAGTTACAGAAGTTTCAAGAAACCCCCAACTGAGATCTGGGTGCAGAGCGGTCACATAATAAAAGGTTTATAATCTACAGAGATGAGGTAGAAAAAATAAGGCTTTCATTACCCTCATTGAAAATAATTTCTATTATATGTCTATGGATTAGTGGGTTCATCGTCCTCCAAATCCCTTCTTCAGAGAGACCCTAAGAGTGATCCCTGATCTGGCTGCCCTTGCTGCCCACAGAGGCCTCAGGATGGGAGGCAGATGGGCACAGTACTCCTGAGCATGCCTGCCCGCATCCTGGCCACCTGCCTGACCCAGGACAGCTGCTGCCCAGGCGCCATTGAGTACATCATCACATCTGCCTGAAGCTGGTGGTCATCCAAGGCGTCCAGCCCTGACAGTGGCTAAAAAGGGCCCCTCAAAACACAGTAAAAGATGTAGCTATCCTCTTCACTGCTGGATTGCTCCCTGCTAGAGCCTGGCCACTCTCATAAATCTCTGCTGACTCAATTCTGGTTCTCTTTCAGGACTATCTGGGTTTTTAAACAAAAGCTGCAGCAGCCTTTGCCAACTTACTGGCCTGCTTCTGTTTAGGTCTTCTAACTATTTAGGTCATAACAGCTTAGAAATTTCTTTACTGTTTAAATGTAATGTCAGCTCTGAAACTGACAATAGCTTTATTTGAAAGCTGTGTTAATCTTTCTAAATAACTGAGCCAGAATTTTCTGGACCTCATTAGCCACATGATAAGTGTTCATCATCCTCTTCCAGATTTTCCATGTAGTTTCACTGATGAGGGGGATGGATGTTTGGTTTTCTTTCCAGTATACCCTCCTGCTCCTGACGTATAATTCCCAATTGCTGACTGTGATTTGCTTGCTCAATAAGCAGAGAGCATAGCTGCAAAAGTACTGAATTATTTGTGCATAATCAATGCCCTTTCCTTCTTTCCTACGCCAAGGTATCAAGCCAAGAGCATGAATCAGGTCCTGGGCTCGCCATCGCTCCAAAACACGTACGTCTTCTGTCAGAATGTGGCAACAACTTCCTGAGGCTTCAGGACAAAAATTCAATTTAACTGGGGCTGTGACTCAGTAAAGATTGTTTTATTTCGCTTCAGGGCCATAGAAAAGGGCTGTCTAACGGCTTCAGTGGGACCCCTTTAATGAAGGACAGACGGGGCAGAGGAGCTCGAGTGGCTTGTGGGTATAAACTCCTGACTCCCTGCAAGCAGAGCAAAGGATATTCGCTTATTGGGGCAGGGAAAAGGCAGTGGGCCAGCTAGAGTTGTCCTATGAGCCAGATTCATTCTACAGGCTGCCAGTTGTGTCACAC